AAAATTATTCTCTGTCAAAGTAGTCGTGGGCGCCTGCTTGCAACGAAACCACTCTTTGCACAGACTAGCGTCAGTCTGTTTTATCCAGCGGCATCGATGCCAACTCATCACACAAAAGCCTTCTGGTGCCATCAAGAGAGGCTAGAAATTGCATTCCTACTTGCATTTACGGTTTGCATGAGAACAGTTGACTACGCAGTTATGACGTGTTATGACTATGGCAGAAGGTTATTTCCAGAAGGTGGTGTACTTACTGTTCTGCAGTAACTGTGACCTTTTACCAATATGCGTAATCTAACGCTGCAAAATTTCACATAGTTCTGCTTCCGATGATTTTCATTGGTTATTTGTTCCATGCATATGTGGTGTCGAAAATACAAACAAAACAGTTTTGCGTCATCATCAGTCATGTCTTTTAGCCTGTTTATTAAATTATTTATGCTACTTCAGCAGTTACTACCAAACCTGGCCTGCAAGAAGGCAGTGGTAACACGTAAGTTTTTCTGACACTTTTAATAAAAAAATTTTATGCTTTAGAAATAATTACGCTTCTAACTTAGCATTGTTTGCCAATGTGCTGGCGGAACGCGTCGGTGAATCTGCATTAATCCTTAATTAAGCGTCTCTACACTGAAAGCATATAAACGGCTTTTCCTAATAAACCAATTTCTGCATTGCGGAAACCAAACGCTCATTTGTTACATAGGGACATATAAGTAAGCGTATACATTATGCGTAAATATTCAACGTACAGATGCCTTATTACCTACCCAAGTTTTTTTTGGATTAGATGTTTACATTTATCCGCAGCAAAGTAGTATATACTGCCAGTATATTCAAAGTTGAAGCATTACATGACTGGTTACAAAAAGCCTTAGCAGGAAAACCATTCTCACTTTCATTATTCACTTTGACTATTTTTGTAAAAATCCGTTTTAGATATCATTTAATCAACGTGGATTCATTTTGATAATGTTTTCTGCACTTCTATTGCAGCCTGGAAGTTTTGTCCACTAATTCGAGGGATCTTACGGTTATATGATGTCTTGCTGCAAAGAGTCCATGCAAATGTTGAATTTTCCGTAAAAGTGCAATACAAGGGGAAAACTTAAACGCATTTTTGGATGGCTGCTAAAACTGATACGACACTGCATTCATGCTCCAAGGTTGATGGCGTTCGAGACTTCTGGATTTTAAAACTTGGCATCCAACTTTACGCTGCCACGAATGAGCATTAAACTCGCTCTTTATGTAAACGTAGTTTGATCATGACTTTATTTCAATATTTGGTTATTTAAAAGTAAGATGCGTTCTCATGTAACTTCCATAGTCTGTGGCGTATGATAATATATACTTCCAGCCATCTGCCACTAAATTTTATAAGTTGAATTCGCTGGTTAACTAGCGCGACTGGTGTTAAAGGAGAAAAGGATTAATTAGCAGTTGGAAAAATAACTTTAAATTATTTTATTCACTTTTGGATTTGTTTACGACGCAGAATTCCATAATTCTAAATATTCGTAATAACGGGTTTATCAAACAGGCTCGTATCCCATTGAACCGCCTAGGTCTTCATAGTTGTGTCAGTATGATTTAACGGATGAAGTAGTTTCTGTTTATCGTCAACTCGGTTAAATCAAAATTAACGAAAAAGCAAATATTTTTGTCCATTTTCATGTTTACTTTAGTCGAAAATTCCTTGCAGCGAGCAATAAATCTAGACAGGACATTAGGCCCTTAGACTAATCTCTATTTTAACACCAAACTTAAATTAAAGGTGGCGTTTCTCTCCTAATTTGACCTCACAGAGCGTACTAGAGAGTTTCGGAATATCATTGTATTAATGCAAATAACACTGCCATGTCAAACTAAATTTCATCACATTTACCAATACTTCATATCGGACTTTTAGATTCACATTCACTGAAAGACGAACTTCAAGACGTTCTCGTGCATTTTATAGTCTGCTTAAGTCAAGGACCCGCATAGGACGCGCTCGTGGCTTCCAGCTCATGCCAATCGATTCCATGCAATTTGATGTGGAGAATGTGTCTGCCGTCGCCGAACTTTTCATTTTATCAAGCAATGTGGCGGAAAAAATAGCGTTCCATTTAGATGCACTCGTATTCAAAAGCTTACATGTGGAAGATGTTTTTCCACAAGCGACTATTTTGACGCTCTTTAAAGCGGCTTGGGGGAAAATCATCTTAAAAATCTTCAAACGCCTTGCAACAGATGCAGCGTCAAATAACGTTGGCCTAACTTGCTTCCTATAACTCTTCTATGTTTGGTCGTTCTGGCCTTCGAAGTGGTCATTACGCATGAGCAAACAGCTGTTGTATTCTGAGAGAAATGGTTTGGAATACAGCACTTTTCTATTGAATTCTGATATTTTATTTTGGTTTGGTCCAACTTATCTTGACGAACTTATGGTAGCTTCCATACATATCTGAGATAAGGTACGGAAATGTTTGTGCTCGTGTGTGCGTGTAGTTATTTGCGTCCAGAGGCAATATTATGAATTGAACACGATCTACAATGATACATGTTCTGGTTACCTGCCCGTCGATGCGCGTACCCCCCTCCCCGTGTATGCAGGTGTTGAGCATGCCGATCCAGTCCTTCTTGTCCTCCTGAGCCCTGTCGGGTTGTTGTTTTTTACCAAAAACCTGTACGCGAAATGCAAAAAAATGAAAATAATCTATTGCGTTTTGGTTTGGGGAAATATCACACCGTCCATTGACAAATATGAACGTTGAAAAAAGTTTTGTTTGTATGAAGTTGCCTGCCTCTAGCGAGCTTTGCCTTAAATTGAGCATACTCACCGGCTGTGTAAGTGATCATAATAGTACACAATATCAGTTTCCTTCGCAACACAGATCTTCACCGCTGAGAGCTGAACGTTATTTCCGGTACTCTGGATTCGGTAAGAAAAACCCATGAATTAACCCATCAAAATGCGATTCTGGGAATTCAGTCTAACGCTACTAGTATGTGTCATATCTAAACTATTCGCTTTAACACCGCAACAAGACTTTGCTGAGAAAAATTGCCAACGACTCGCAGGAAATGATGACTGAATGAAGTCTGCGGAACGAATGAGTGGCCAACGTAACTCTGGGCTTATTACGTATGCCTGATACAATTTGACCAAAAAAGGTTACAACACGTCGATTTTTTACTCCCATGTGACGATGCCGATCGTGTCTTTCTTGTGTTAATCCAATATGACAGTTCGACCATCGGTTTCAATGATGTCCGCCGTGTGCCCCACTGTTGCAGCAGCAATGGAAGCAGGGACGGTGACTTACGCAGGGGTTTATAGTGACTTGCGTAGCATCCACCTACACTCTCTCCTCCTCCCTCGCCAGAGCCCGGTGTCAAGACAGAGTCAAGAAGACCGGAGACAAGAAAGGCCGCGGGTGGATGGCTCGGACGAATCCTCACCTTTGCGCTCCACCACACCCCTTGGTGCACACAACAAATAACCAGGATTTAAACCAACACAGGAGAGATTTGGAGGCTGGCACGGCCGAAGCCGCACCTGGGCATGCCGCCAACGCCTGGCCCGGTCCCACACTGTGATGGGAGTGCCATAAAGGCCACATTAAAAAGGAGCCATTGCAGCCTGACTCTCAGGCCGCCTCCGGTCAAGGAGGAGGTCCGAGTTACCCCGTCAGTTGGCAACCTTCCAGGCGACGGATTTTAGCGCACCGTGATAGCTTCAGGCGCGTCAGGTTGTTTATAGTTAGGAGAAAGTGCGCTGAGCCGTCGACCTTACTCTCCTTTACCACTACCACACCCCAGCAGCTATTCGAGCTGGTCAGCAGACTGGAGTGAGGAATGGGCGCAGTAGCTGTCATGGTTGACTGATCATGACTACGCGCGCCACGCCACGACCTGGCCCCCCATACACACACAAACACCAGGATTTCAAACAACGGGGGTTGAACGGCGTGTCTCTCACTTGCGAGAGAGGGCCGTGGAAGGTGCAGCTGCAGCCCGTCCCCAGCCCAACAGTCCGCCACTCCACACAACACACACACAATGCAACGAACTGCGTGAACCGAGAGCGGGCGTCAATCAGCAATTATCCTATTTACGGCGCTTGACGTGTCGGGATCGTCTCGGAATCAAGTCATCCGTGCAGCCGAAGCCGCATGGGGACCGAGTCGAGATGCACACTTCCCATTTGCGTGGGAGGTGGCAGTTGGGTGCATGAGGTGTGTGAGTATTGATTTCTGGTGGGGTGGTGGTGGAGGAGGTAGGGAGTGAGTGAATGTGTGTTGTTGCCGGCGTTTGTCTACCGCAGGTCGTCGTGGATGCGCATATGGCCGAATAGGCCCATGCAATGGCCCGAAAGTGCGAGGACAGTGTCGGCAGTTGAGACGGGCTTGGTGGGTATAGGTGGGTGCTCCAGGCACTGGTTCGCCAGTCTCTGTGCGATGGATTCGCAAGTGACCTACGAGGCCGATGTGTGAGGTGAAGGTATGGTCGCAGTGAGGGCAGGTGTAGTCCTGATACTCATCCCTGGAGTCGGGGGATGTGGTGGTAGTGTCGGTTGCTGTGCGCGGGACAGTCGCCTGAGCGGCCGCCGTCGGAGCAGTGGGCGAGGAGGAGGAGGAGGAGGATAAAGGAAGTTGTGGGTCAGAAGAATTGCCAGGTTTAGTTGGCGGCGGAGAGGAGGAGGAGGAGGAGGAGGAGGAGGAGGAGGAAGCGGCAGGCGGGGGGACGATGGTTGGTGCCGTTCGAGAGGCGCAGTTAATTTAAAGATGCCCAACAAATCAGATTCGAGCCCGGAATGTCCGTTGACATCGAGGACACGTTGGAAGCAGTTGTGCGGCGGCGGTGCTTACTAGGCGAAGTGGTGACTTGCGGGCTTCACGTTTCGCTTTGGCGGCAGCGATGACGTTGGCTTCGTATATCGCAGCGCCTGTCTTCACTGTCCTCCCTCATGTCGGTCGATTAAGTGCCAGCTCCTCCCAGTTGGTCGGGTAGATTTACAGGCATTTTAGGGAGGACTTCAGGGTATCCTTGTAACGGCGAATCTGGCCTCCTTGACGGCGAGAACCCGTCACGACGTTTCCATAGAAGAGTCGTTTGGGTAGTCGCTCGTCGTCCATGCGCACCAGGTGGCCGCTCCAGTGCAGCTGAATTTGCCTCAGTATGGCGTAGATGCTGAGGATTCCCGTCCGTTCCAGCACATCAGTGTCGGGGATTCGATCCTGCCACTTCATCCTCAGGATACGACGAAGACAATTGAGGTGCAAGTGGTTCAGACGGCGTGCCTGCTTTGCGTACACCGTTCAAGTCTCCGTTCTATACAGTAGTGTCGGCAGGATGACGGCCTTGTACATCTTCAGCTTCGTGCTCAGCTGAAGACCGTAGCGATTTCAAACTGTGCTTTGGAGTTGACCGAAGGCTTGACTGGCTTTCGAGATCCTGTTGGCGATTTCGTCGTCGATCTTGGTGTTGAGGGAGAGAGTACTGCCCAAGTACGGCAAGTTCTCCACCACTTGAAGTTGGGTCTCATTCACGCTGATTTGCGGCGGCGCGTTGGGGGATGTGGCTGAGTTGGGAGGCGGTTGGTACATCACCACAGTCTTCTGTGTGTTAATGACCAGACCGAAGTTCTCGCAGGCGGCGGAGAACAGGTTGATGCTTCGTTGCATCTCCTCTTCTGAGGTGGTGTTGAATGCGCAGTCGTCGGCGAAGAGGAGTTCGTGAATGGTGGTTGTGGATACGCGCGATTGGAAGTGCATCCGCCGTTGATTCAGGAGGTGACCGTTCGTCCTGAAGCGATGCGGATCCCGGGGCGTTCGTCGCTGTAGGCGTCCGTCAGCATGGCAGAGAACATAAGATTGAAGAGGGCAGGCGCCAGTGCGCAGCCCTGCTTCACTTCATTGGTCACTGCGAATGCCTCTGAGACAGCTCCGTTGTCCGTGACTCACGCCATCATACCGACGTGCAGCTGACGCACTATCTAAGTGAATCGCTCCGGACAGCCGAATTTCTGCATGATCTTCCACAGTCCTTTACGATTCACCGTGCCAAGGGCTTTCGTCAGGTCCATGAAGGTAGAGTACAGGTGGGTCCGCATTTCCTGACACTTCTCCTGAAGTTGACGGGGGCGGCGAAGATCATACGCCTGGTCCCACGATGACGACGGAAGCCGCATTGGCTTTCCGGCAGAAGGCCCTGTTCTAGATGGTAATTGAGTCGGTTGAGGAGGAATCATGCGAAGATCTCCCCGGCGATGATCAGGAGGGAGATGCCGCGGTGGTTGTCGCAGACTTGGCCATTCCCTTTGCGCTTGTAGAGATGCACGATGGTTGTGTCTTTGAAATCTTGCGGGAATTCACCTTGACGCCACATCCCTTGGAAGAGCGCAGTCATGGCGGGAGGTCGAGGTCAACGTTGGTCTCCACTTGCGGCAAACGCTCGATGGCGGCGTCGGAGATGGCGGAGGGGCGGTTGAGGAGGCCTCGGAAATGCTCAGCCCAGCGCTGTAGAATTTGTGTCTTCTCAGTCAGGAGAGTGTTGCCGTCGGTGCTGAGGAGAGGAGCGGTGCCCTTCGTCGGCGGACCGTAGACAGCTTTGATCGCAGAGAAGAAGTTCTTCAATTCGTTGCGGTCCGCATAGCCTTCGATCTCCTCAGCTTTACTAGCAGTCCAGGCGTCCTGCATCTCGCGCAGTCGTTGCTGAATTTGGCGGCAACTGCGGTAGAAGGCAGCTTTGGTGGAATCAGTGGTGTGATCTACGTAGACTTTGTGTAGGCGGTTCTTCTCAGCTAGCAGATTTCTGATGGCGGCGTCGTTGTCGACGAACCAGTCCTGGTATTAGCGGGGAGCACGACCAAGGACGGCGAGCGCTGTCGACTGGACCGTGTCTCGCAGTTGACACTAGCGGTTCTCCACGGATGCGTTCTCGGCAGCGGCTGCGTCGTCGGTGGCAGCGATTGGAAGGTTGCCTAGTCGTTGAGGTAGCTCATTGCTGAAATGAAGATGATGAGCGGACAAAGACAACATAGCAACATTCAGCTTACCTGGGGGTCGCTTACCTTGTGGTCTCCTGCGAGGCTGTAGGCGAATACGCATCTTCGCAATGACGAGGCAATGGTCGGTTCACACTTCGGCGCCCGCGATACCCTTTGTCACCAGCAAGTCCCGCTGATCTCGCCTCCGGCCGAGGACATAGTCCAGCAGGTGCCACTGACGCGACCGAGGATGCCTCCAAGTGGCCTTCTCTCGGTCCGGCAGACAGAAGAACGTTTTCTTTAGGATGAGGCGGTGTTCTGCGTTTAGAAACAATAAATTGTGTTGTAAAACTAATCATAATGCAGCACAAATTTGCAGTGCGTGACGTACCTCATGAAATCTTATAAAGGCATCTAATGAAAGATTTTTTGGACGCATTTAACGTAGAGAATTTGTTTGCTCATCCGCTTCCTTAAATAAAATGTCCTATTCTTGTGCAGAAATTGTGTTTACGAAATTATATAAAGGAAAATATCAATACATATAAGCAAAAATGAACATTGGAATATATTCGTGCAATATCTTATGCTAATACATGTCCTAGATCCCGATTACGCATCTAAACGACTTTTTCTATTGTGAAAGGACAGTAATTTAGCCGTAAGAGTTTATACAAACAGACTTATCCGAATTAGAAATTTTATTTTATGCCCGATGTTCACCATGGCGATCAAGCAGTAAAAAATGTAAGTTCATAAAAACCAGAGGTTTTATCAATTTAAATGTGTCAAAATAGTAGTTATGTGCGATTTGGTGTCCAAAAATACAGTTAAAACGCAGATATGGATTCCTTTGTTTAAATGGGCTGAAATTGTTTTTCCGTTTGTAAACCTCTTCCTGATGTCACATGGGTGACCACCATGGAATGGTAATTTAAACATGTGAAAAATTACTTATCGTGTAGTTTAGATTATGTGCATACTTTATTCAGGAATAAAACGAACAGAACATTCACAGTTTCAGCAAAATATACGCATTTATATGGGTGCCCATCCATGCAATCAAAATCAAAGAACGGAGTCTAAAAGCAAGCAAAAACAGTAAAAATGGCCTGTGCGTATAGAGGAAGGTATTTTCTTGGGTTTACGGTAAAAAATTTTTAAATTGCTTAGAGGCGTTAAAAAAAGCCAAACGTGTTAAATTGTTACTCGTCACTCCATGGAAAAATTCAAATTACACAGAGATCCGTCAACGGAGTTCAGTATTAAAGCACTATTTAAAGAGGTGACTTATTATGAAACGCTTTCTTAATGTTCGAAGGAATTTTCGTTGCTGACTTTCGTTGTGGACAGCCAGTTTTTTTCAAAAATGGAGTTTGATGTTGAAATGTTTCTTTCCGTGTGGCCTAAATGACAATTTTTGTGAAAAGAAGCGTGCAAACGCTCACTAACTCGGTAAATGACTTCAAAAGCAATCCTACTTTAATGTTCGCAACAAACAGGTAATTCAGAATCTGTCTTTATGGGCAATCGGATAAAAGAACTGAAAATCATGAGGTAAGCAGTAACATTTCGAGGCTGATCTGAAAGTCAGCGCAATCAAAAACGAACATAAAATATAAATTAATTAAACGGAAAAAATTGCTATTTATAAACAGGAACTGGTATGTTTGCAATTATAACTGGCAGTTCTTTCTAAATTTTTAGGAACCGACCGGCCTTACTCGATGAAATCAAGCAAATTCCCCCATATCTTGTCGATACCTGTGCCAATTACTTCATGTGCGCTAAAAAGGACACTACGGACTGGAAGACGGTTTCGGAATATGCACTCAAAATTTAGGCAGTTCGAAAACGGTCACTACTTATTAAACGATATTTAGAAGTAAACTTTACTAAAACACTGCTATAAGACGTTATTTTATGTTTACTTTCATATTTTCTATGTTTTTGTTATGCGAACACATTTTATACACCTGAAAACGAACTTTATTTAATTAGGGTCGTTTCTGACTTTTTTGGGATACTGGGCTTTTCAAAGTGAATGGGAATTGCTAAACAACGCAACACTGCCTATAATATTTCCTTAGTTTTTTTAATTCTTTACAACTGATACTTAATTATCATAGACATTTGACTCATGAAATGGTGTCGGTTTGCAAATGGTGTGCAATCATTCGTAAATTTCGACAAATTTCATGAGTTATGTCACTATATAATAATCCAGTTACCTCAGCATTTTGGCTTTCGAAAAAACGTATATTTGGCTGCATGCAAGATCTATACTTTGCAAAAAATGACTTCGAATGTAGCATGCAATTTTTTCATTGATTTCCAATGCTGTTGAAAAGTCAATTATATTTCATGGAAAAAATGCATAAAGTATCCATTTGGTAAAAACACGTCTCCTTTCACTTGCATGCTTAACAGAATAGTTTAATTCAGTTTTAAAAAAGATTTTAATTGTGAGATTTTTAATACCGTTAAATGGCCGTTCATGAAGCGTCGTGTATCTGCATTTACGAATGTGGCTTCTTAAGTTTACAATATCGCTCAAATCGCTGCTACCTTTTATGAACCTCTTATAGACTCCTCTCAACACAATAGAGAAATGCATGGTTTTCCGTACATGGCTGGTAGCTTCGAAACTCTGAATGCAAGTGTAACACCCGTTCGGGTTCATAAGTAATCAGGAATTAGAAAAAAATTCTTTTAAACGGAATCATACTCTTCTTTGGAGTATGAAATCGTAAGAAGACGAGATTTTTTACCGAATGAGTTAAAAAAATCATTCTTTTTATGCATGTTGTCTATAAAATATACTTTAATTTTCAAGGGCATCGAAAATCAATGAGAAAATTGAATGCTACTTAAGTATTTTTTTGCAAAGTATAGACATTGCATGCAGCCGAAAATAAGTACTTTCGAATGCTGGCACCCAGAGGTAACTTAATTATTAAACATTTGTGCTGCATCATGATTTATTTTACAAAACTTATTTATTTATCTTTTCTAAACAAGAACGCATTTCGAAATTTTGGTTGACGTCTCATGTGTTTTTACACCTATTGTGCATACCTACTGCACTAATCATTAGCGAATTTGACACAAACATTGCTGATTCAATCGTCCACATTTGATCGAGATATATGTAACGAAGTAAGCGCTACGCATTCAATATATATTTTATAAAACCCTCTGCTTTCCAGTCATGCGAAATAAAACCAATTCGTTAAAATATCTTATCCTTATGCAAAAAAGCTATTACTTAGAGGTTTAGGAGATGCCCGATAAAGAAATTTATGTCACTCTATTACTGTAAATAAGCCATTATCAGTTGTTTGAATTTAAAAGCAGTTTTCTGTGTTTTAATCACCGTCTGATCTGCGACAATTATTTTGAATGCCTATAGTGCGCTTAACCTCAACAAACTGTGACACATGTTTTATTGTCTGCTTTTGTGACCAACGCATAATATTTGTCTACTACGATTTAATCTTGTAAGGGACGGAATGCGAAAATATTTCCTTTTTTCGAAATTTAACTGACAGAGACATCGTCGTGAATAACGGAACTGTTTGTGCATGAAGTTCCAATGAAAATTTGACAAATGCAATCGTTTTTCTGTCCGCAGTTCTATAATACGACTAAGGCGATTTTTCGGTCTCGACCTTATTTTACAGCAAACAGCCATAACAGAGCTTATTTGTACAGAGTACTCTATATTTTGGCAGCAACGTGCCACCGAGACGTGATTCTAAATATGCAGATGAATCCTACAAAATGTCAACGAGAAGCATCCACATAAATGCTCAGAAATTTAGATAGCACTGTAATTATATCCATTGCTAGTAAATAATTCGTCTTCATAAATATGGAGCGACATATTTGCCTAAAGCAAAGGTCAGGTAGTGGGTCTCACTCACTGCAAGATTAAATAACTATGACTGGCGCTTGTCTTTTATAGCTTTAAAGACCGATTTGCGTGCTTAGGCGAACCTTCGACAAATCCCAATTGACCAAGTATATTTACAGGGTAATGGGATACAAGAACATCAAAAGAGATTTGAAATAATTCGACTGAAGTTCGTCTTTCCATAAGGATGGGTGTAAGAATAGAAGAGGGTTAGAATTAAGATACAGTGGGCAAAAAGGCATGAGAGAGATTGGCGAGAGAGGTCGCGTAGCCGTGCATGCATTTAGCCGACATTTAATCACTGTAGACGTGGAGGAGCTTGTTTCAGATTCTTCTGTGCGTATGAGACCTGCTTTTATAGCTTTATGACCGTCACATTGTGCTGCTGGCAGACGCTAACCTAGTTACTTAAGGCAGTTTAGTGAGGCACTGTAGATAAGGCGGAAATTCCTTCGTGGTCCAAGCGATGCCTAGGACCAATCATGTTTGCCGCGGTGGCGCCATTCAGGTTTTTTATTTCACCCTCTAGGAAGCCTTCCAGAATGTGTTTTTGTGTTCTTTGGATATCCGTTCACCCCGGAAACCTACTATATCAGATCTGTAAGGAGTAAATCTAACCTCTTATCCTTAACCCTTAGTCCTAATCCTGATTCCTAACTCTAACCCCTAAATACAACAGATAACAATAAACGGGTCATTCGAATGCGCGCCTCTGCTGCTGGTGTTTCCTAGCATATTTAGTTGATATCATCGTGCAGCGACACTTCAACTCGGTGGAGCATTTCGCTGACCGAATTCTGAATGACAACGTCCATCCCCTTCATAATGAGTTAATGGCCGCGAAATCCTTACGCCCCATGCATCGATGCTTCCGCCACATCCCTTGTCGCACTTCGGCCTATCGGAATTCCATACTTCAATTTCTAGCCCGGTATCTCACCCGCAAAGATGTTGAAAAACAAAAATTAAAACTCGATTTTGCACCTTAAAGTCCTTTTTTCTACATATATAATCATGTCCACCTGTCCAATACCTGTTAATCTCTATGGTAATCACTGTGTACTGGAGACCCGTTTTTGTTGAAAGTTTTGAAAGTTATTTTCAAAATAAAGCAGTCCTTTCTTTCTCTCAATCTTATCAATATTGTGTCCATCAGGTTGGTCTACTAAACTATGTCTTTCCGAAACTAGCTTTCCATTCTCCGTCAAAATAGGGTTTTTGTTCATTAGCTAAATCTCTGGTGGTTAAAAGAGTAAAAAATGCCTAGTTTAGTTATCTTCTCAGGAGATTATTTTCTACGCCCACTAACGAAAACAGTTGTCTAATTTTATTCCTTATATAATTGTCAGTGTGTCAAATAATTGTGTAGCCGATCTTTACTTGATCAGTGGTCAATTGAAATTTGGCCTTGTGGCTGCCCCAGCAAGCAACCGTTTCTCTTCAAAAAGACATTAAAAATTTGGAGTCGTTATTTTGTGTGTTTAGTGCGCTTGCAGAGGAAGACTTGGGTGGAAAGGTGAGTTGTTAGAAGCGCTCTGAGTGCATATCAGCGCTGACAAGTCGACGCCCGATCGCAGTGACTTTTAGCATTTCTGCTGTTGTGCGCGAGTCTAGACGCGCTGACCTTCCAAAAAGATCACGCAGTAAAAACACCACTGGCAAAAGAACACCAGTCGTCACAGTCACCTCTGACTGCAAAAGAGACGCGCGTTTGGTATCGATTAAAACGGCCACGGTGATCGTGGTACACAGAAAAACACCTCCGACCACAAACTGTGCTGTCGTACTGCCGTGCATGAACACGACCCTGATCAAGCACTCATATGTGCCTGTATAAAAGATGGCAAACATAAAGGGGAACGGTCATGTGTTCCCAAATAATTAAATCTATTCTATGAAAATTACACCTTTTTTCGGCCTTAGCAGTCATGGTTGGTACGATCAGTATGTAATTAAATGAAGTGACTACAACGAAAGTGGAATTCATTTCCAAATGATAAACACTATGTGCTGTAGGTAAACTAACTTATGAAATGTTAAACGGAATTTCGAAATGCGTTTTCGTTTCGCTAAGATCAATTAAAAGGGGTTGTAAAACTAATCAGCAAGCAGCGTAAGTCTATATGAAATCAGTAGCAGCGGGATGTCACCTTTGTAAGGAACATTTTTGCGGCAGCATGTTAATACCATACACTGTAAGATGTAAGTTTCTTTGAGGTAGTGAGGCCTTGACACAAGTTCACCGGACATATTCATTAAGGCTGTCGGAAAGACAGCAAATGATATTACTTGATAACATTTTCTACAAGCCTGAAATTGTATGGTAACACACATGTTGTAAACCGAAAAAATATACATCAATTGCAGCACCGAATTTAAAAAGGATAGTTTAGTGTATACTTTTATGTGTGCCCAAAAGTAAAAGCATTTAAATTTACAGTAATGTCAAAAACCGATAAACCTTGTTCGTGCTATTTATGCTGTCCTTTTTACTAACTGCGGTCCTCACAGAATACTAAGTATAGGGGACTTTAAGAGGCATAATCCAGTAGAAACTAAAATAACTTAGCATTTTTTGCATCTAGGTTATCCGCTTTATTCCCAATCGTATAATGTATAATGTTTTCAACATTAAACCCAACTAAACACGATATGTCGGCTCTTGCATGTATGAATAAAGGTTTATCTAATAAAAATCTAAAGGCATGGATAGTCTTGTTATTTGACTAGGTTTTATAAGTGAGTAAACAGGCTGCGGTTACATGTGCAGTAAATATCATGTGTGCAGTGGCGAATTCGCAGGTTTATTTAAAAATGAACTTCGGTTACCATCAACATCAAATGGTTCCTAGTAATTCCTTGTATGCTGCGTTCTCTCTCCCTATAGTTTTCTGAATGATCTCACAAGTCAGTTTTTACGATGTCTGCCGGATAGATAAACTAATTACAGCCAGTGACCTATCTCATGGAATTTTGGCTGAAATTCTGAAATGCATTTTCGATAAGAAGGATTACTTGGTCGCGGTTTTAATACTCACTATTTTGCGGCATACCCTTATAAAATTTCGGAATAGGCAGGGCGTCGGCTTTTAAATGCACTTCTTTTCAATCTCCAATAAAAAGCGTAATCGTAAAAAATGCCTACTTAAGTTGCATGCATTTTTCCTATTGATTTTCGATGGCCTTAGAAATTCAAATATATTTTATAGAAACAACAAACAAAAATATTCTTTTTTGAGTCATTCAATAGCGAGTTTCGTCTTTTTTATATTATATACTTAAGAAATGAGTATAATAAGGTTTAAAAAGAGTTTTTTATTGCCGAATAATTTGTAGCCTGATCATTCGTTGCATTAGTGCTTAGTAATTTCAGTCTGCAAGGTGCATGCGTTCCGCGTAAAAAATCACATATTCTTCTATGCTATTAAAGGGATATCATGCAGAGTCCATAAAATTTTGCAATGGATGCAAACTATGTTGTTCATTACATGAGGAGCAGTGGTAAACGGCCAGGTACGATGCTGTGTGAATTGACATTTCGGGGTCTTAAAAAGTCTTATATTTAGAAACGTTTTTGAAACGTTATTATAGTTTTACCTAAGTAGAATATATAAAGAAAGCGTGATTATTTTATTGATTGACTAAAAATAAGCATATTTTTATTCATAGTTTCTATAAAATACATTTGAATTTGCAAGACCATCACAAATCAATAGAAAAGAGGCATGTCAATTAAGTGGTCATTTTTTACGATTAAACTTTCTATTGGAGATTGAAAAGAAGTGCATTTAAAAGCCGACATCCTACCAATTCCGAAATGCTATAAGGATATGCCGCAAGATAGTCAGTATTACAACCGTGACCAAGTAATCCTTCTTATCGAAAACGCATTTCCGAATTTCAGCCAATATTTCATGAGATACGTCACTCACTGTACATGAACTGCCCAGAAAATCCCGCAAAATAGCAAATATTTTACGCCCTAAGAGGGCTATATTAACACCAAAAGTGATTCTTATTGCAGCGAAGAAGCCATATGTTGGGGATACCTACGGTTTCATCTCGAGGTCGGACAAACTGGACTCATCGGCCAATGGCACACATTGCATGCCCTTTAGCATCGTTCGTCTTCAAAGCATTTACACCTCCAATAATTTCGTTTAAGACATTCCCGTGGTTCTTAACAGCGTTCGGAAGAATATCTTATTTCCTGTTATTTGCTAAAGATAGGCCAATCGACGAACTTAAGATGATTTATTAACTTTTGAAGTCATAACAGCAGATCCTCAATCGAACTTATTGAAACAACTGACGATCGAAAATGGACTTCTAGTGTTTCCCTATGTCATTTGCTTGTTGTCAGCTCCCACATCTCTAGGTCTACCAAACGCGGCACAAATGGTTTTTTTTCTTCCGATAAAGAAGGTTATCCAGTGACAATGATTGAACTTTACCGGTGCTTCTTCCACGGCAGCACAAAAACATCACACACCCAACAACATCCTTGATGTCAGCAGATAGAACATTCACATGTGATTCGAGAGGATACTTCTCAGCGGTAGTTAACCAGGAAAAAACTTTTTGCTCAAACTAATGCCGCTGCGGACATCATAACATAAGTACTTGAAAGCCACAAGGCCTGCCATTTACATGAATCTCATGACATATGTGATACCATTCTCCTTTAATAGGTTCAGGACAAGGATCTATATTCTTCGTCAGTAGATTAAGTTAAATATGCCACGCCTGCATTTAGAAGTACGAATTTAAACATCGTCCGTTTGTCGCTTAGGAAACGATAAAGCAGCGGTCGTATACCCACCAAACGTTAGTGAATTTTCCACTAGTGTAAGGAAGTATGACACATCACGTCTACATCATCTAAGACAAATGTTAACACACAGTCGCCTACTTTGGCCTTTCTGCAGACAGTTCACACAAGGTTGATCATGAATTTAGACAGAAGTCGGTCAGTGTCACATGCATGCCTCAAACGGACCGTCCTGGGCTTATCAAAACGGTCTTCAAAACTGTCTTTTATACAATCTGCCTTGTATATGTGCACCAGACAGCAGCTTTGTCAGTATCGCAAGAAGTTACCAGCGACTAGCGAGGCTGGTGGCCTGAATTTTCCAAACTTTTCTCGCAGAAGAACTTGTGACACACGGTAAATACATGAAGATTGACCCTAAAAAGTAGATGTTATTTATAAAGCGGCCCTTAGGTATCATAGGAAGTAAAGTAACTGATTGCTATGCATGTTTTATTAAATTATCTATTAGTAGCTAAAAAACAACTTGGAGCTAAATAAAGACAAAACGTGTCTCAAGAGCCTGATGCAAATACTTTATTATCTAAGCGCAGCTGAAGGTTACAATGTGGGCTTCGACAAGATTGGCAATGCCAAATGATGGGAAGCAGCTAGATTTTGCAGTGCACAGGTTTGAGGGGAATGGACCTCATTGACATCACCGGCTCGTTCTTTCGTGTAGAATGTTTCGGTCGGTTTGGATTCAGAATTTTTTTCGCGGCTGCTAGAAAGTCTGGGTGATGTATTTTGGTAACGCCTATGATGTTTGGCCCATACGTTGACGTATTCCAGTTTGATATTTCGAAAAAAACGCGACTATTAGCCGGTCCATTGTCATAGCTCTTCTTACCGCCCTAAATGAGGTCGAGGTTTACAATATCCTGTAAGCTTTTTTTATGACAAATCATACGGCAGCAATATTAAGTTGATACTCCAGATGAATTTATACCTGATTCCGAGTGCACATGACGCTATTCCAGACGACATCGCAGGAGTATGCTCTAGAACGCTTATACAGTACAGGCCAGGGCGGTTGACAATTATAAACAAGTGTACTGCCAGAAAGGCTGGCGTTATAAGAAGGCTTGATTAATTTGCATTCTCCTTCTGTCATAATTAGCGAAGAAATTTGGTTGATGAGGTGTGCAGCAACAGTGCCAACTCGAAGTATACCGTTTTCACGCGGACAGTTCTCAACGTCTGCAAGGAAATTAAGTCAACCGCATTAGAATGATGCGGTCGGCTAGTTAATAGCTCCCGACATCTTTGTGTATACTGTCTGCTAGTTGTGTAGTAATTATTTCATAGAAAAACTGCTTATCGCCACCATTACACACAAATATAAAATTTAGTAGATCAGACAGGGAGTAACTTTGCACTGCTTGTGTCAATCAGTAAATAACAGCTCTACTGAGATTAAATCAAAACAATATGAGGATTCTGGAAAATGTCTGGTTTTAGTTAGACGATGCAGGAAGAATTTTACGGCAAACAAATAATTTAAAAACATAGTTAGACAACGTATGTAATCTCTGACCTAACCTTAACATATTACAGCGCAGCAAAACACTTACATCACGCGAAAAACAGACGCCTAGATATTCATATGTTCATTAAAAAAATAGCTCAGTCGTCATTTATGCATTTCGCGATTTTAATAAAGGTAAATTGGCAGTAACATAGGAAAAACATACGAGGTAGTGAAGAACAGGCGTCGTCGCCATTGAGAAAGCATAACAGGAACAGAAACACTGTGCATAACATGTTGCATCAGCGTATGCACAAACTAATGTAACTGAACATTAGTGTAGGACAAATATCATTGACTGGAAAACTGTGAACCAATAAAAATAACTGACAATCACGTTAACGGGCAACAGCAGAGCATTAAACAAAAAATCACGAAAAATTAATCAATAATGCGAATATATTACCAAAACGGACTTTCTGAAGTAGAAGAAGCATATATATGTATTAGGAAGCCGAAATACGAATAAGAACCACAGTTTATCTAAAACGGTTTCTATCGAAAATCTGCCTTCAAATGCATTTCTTTGCAAGGATCAACGAAAGTCCTGAGTGAATTATTAGGCTCTGCACGCACCCTAATGCAATGACTCATCGTATTTCGTTCTTGAATGTATTTCCTCAGTATTTCATAAATAAGAGATAATATTCTGCTCGTGTTTATTAAATTCCAAAAAAATATTCAAAAAGTCGTTGTAAATTTGCCAAGCGTTTTTAGGGATGTATGTTCTTTGCACAAACTTATGTGTTCGTTATTCGCATGGCGATTTTGCGTTTTGAATATCGCTTACTAATTAACATAGTTCATAGTAAATGAACGTTTCCACTTATCTGTTGGACATAAGCAAATGAGGCCTTTCTGGATTCTGTGAGTGCACAAGGCTTCTTTTAAATACGCGGACCTAGGAGGGGGGAGTTGTCAAAATAATATTATCACCTATGAATGTGCCTGCGACTGCCTGCGAGGGTTCTAGTATAAGCCCCAAGGCACAACGGAACGGGCATGTTTCGTAACCTCATCGGCGAGCGCCCACTGTCATAATTTATTTGTCGGTATCATCTTATCTTTGTCTGCAACTAGTCGCCGTGCATAATGAATAATTAATATTCCCGATCACAACCGAGAGGACAACGGGCCCATAACTCAATGGTAGAGCGTCAAACTCCATGACCAAAGATCCCAAGTTCGAATCTCAAGTGATCCACATTTTGGGTTGGGTATGACTGGCTGATGACGGCTTATAAGCCAGAAATGGCCATTTCGGTCTCCTTGTCTTTGTCGGTATCATCTCATCAATGTTATTACCACTGAAAGCCCTTTTCATCAAAAGATTCTGACTGTTTGGGTTTAAATATCGTCTGCCTTTGTTGTAAATAGAACACTATTTCTCAAGACTTTTTCTTTTAAAGGCAAACATCAGACACGATAATTGGGCAACCGGTTACGCAGGAATTTCCTGGAAGTATATAACAAATGTAAAATAGCTCGTAATTAGCCAGCATAACGTTTGATGGTACGGTGTTTTCAGTTTAACAAAATGAGTCAATCCTGCATACTCTAAATCATTGAATGGAACTTTTCTCAAACCGTTTTTTCATAATCATGGTTGTTGTAGGAAAAGAGAACAAGCCCCTTAAAACGTTAATACGTCGACCATAAACTTAACGCTTAATTAGCCAAGGTAAATTATTTAGCATCAAAATGGACGTATAAAATGTCCTCTGGGCGCTTTTGTGCGCTGGGCTGTTTTGGGACAATTATGAAAGGCACATTTGCTAATAGAAACGAAAGGGCAAATTCCGGGATATATTCATCAAAAATTATGCACGATTTACTGAACGAGAGTTTTTTGTACACCACATTATCGGATTCTTCCTCGCAAACATTATCAAAAACATAGTCCGATGATGGTTGTAAACTGCTCAGGTGTCGCATTATTTATCGTAGGTGGTTGTTAGGCCGCTCATGCCTATCGCAGTTGGTAGCTGCCGGCTACAGCACTTGGACAATTTATTGCTCCTTTTGACTCTCTCTATTTCTCTGATAATTGACTTGAGCAAAAATCCGAAATATCAGGTTAGTAAAGCTCTTGGAACAACTACTTTTACTCCTTTCTCGTAAGGCAGATTTTCTGACTCCTGTTTCCGAAGCCTATAGTGACATCCTGCTGCTTCGATATTCACTACAATAATGACCAGACTGCAATGTGTCTCATTGATGTGATTTCGCAAGCTTTCACATACTTTCCGACAGAAAGTTTTTCTGTTGTTCATATCGTTGACAGACAGAAACGCGTAAACTGAATGCGTCCATCTGCAAGAACTGTGCTAAACACCCAACCAATTGCACTGCGTATTGAGATCAATTCGACCGCCACTGCCGCCGATGTTCCGCGTGTGATCAAAACAGCTTAAGAACAGTTACGGTAACTACAGTTTGAGGTAGCATTTAGTTTTAATTAACTAGTGCAAATTCTACCGCACCCTCACTTTCGACCTCATCTGGGACCGATGTCACCAACGAGGCGAAAGTACTGGAGGTGGTTGAGGACGCAGATAGTTGACAAAGCAAAAACGCCCACCTTGACGTACCACCACATTTCCTGGTCAATAACTTACTCTGACAAAGTTTTTGCACAAAAAAGAAAATATACGGACGACTTGGATCGCTATTGGCACGGCACGTGTCTGCAGATTGGCCTGACAACAGAATCTCAATGTTGATAACATTGAATGTGTTCCAATGACATACAGGTGCACATTTTCGATAACACCTGCCCGACTCCGATCTAGTCACATTTTAGTCTACTGCATCTACGGCGTAGGTCATTTTAACCACACAGTCACCATTCACAAATCTTTATCAACTATGTAACACACGTGGACAAAATTTGCCTTGGACATAAAACCAGCCCTTAGCTGGTGACTGGGATAAAACATCATTCAAAGTTTCAAATTTGCAGATTAAAGCAAAAACTTTTTGTGTTCAACCTCATCACTTTGGAAATACGAAGTAGACAGCAACGGGATAGGTGTTTTTTCATATAATGTTAACTTAGATGTTGAATTACAGTGAGAGTGCAGTCTCATAAAATGCCGAATGAAATTCTGAAACGCGTTTTCTATTAGGACGGAGAACTTAAGAGAGTTGCAATATCGATTATCTTGCCGCATAATCCATGGAAAATTATCTGGCAGGATAAAATATGTCTTCAATTAACAATGGTTTTTTTTAGGAAGACATGATTAATCAGCATGCCGGATAATTCAAACGTATTCCAATCATGCTTGGTTACTCCCATTTGAATGGGGTCAATTTACGACCGAGTTTATTATAAGTGGCTGCATAATTGTGTAACATTTTGTGAAAGCTGTGCTTTTCTTTAAGAGTTAAGTGGAATATTTAAACACCTTCCTGGAATTAACATTTTTTTGCCTACATTTTCCGAAGTCAGCTGTCTTTGCTATATTCTTCCCACCGTAAACTGCACTCCTATGCAAAGAGCTCACTAAGTCTAGTTTTCATATACTGACTATCAATGTAAAGTAATCAGCCGTGACAGACTAGTTCAAATTGGTCCAAGTATAGTAATAAACCTGAACAGCCAATCACCCATGATATAAGTCTGAAGTTTTTGAATGAGATCAACTTTGATTTCCCATGTGGTCGCCTCATTTGAGGCAAAACGTGATCGGGAAACCAGCCAAAGTGTGCTTTCGTCGAATTATGCGAGACACAATTCGTGTATACACGCATCGGTTTTCCAAAACCACACAGACGATAAAACATTTGATTTCGATACAGTGGCATTTATGATGTAGGATCAGACAACCTTAAAAATGTCCATTCATCCATATGCATATCTGCCCATTCAAAAAATGCTGTTTAAAAGCTTTCGGCATGATTTGTTTTCAAAGAAACATTATGGATATTATTTGACTTTTTCAAAATACCGTAAAAATGTCTTATTTTCTCCTATAGGAGGCGTAGTCCAGGTAGCTTGTACATAATTAATATTAGCGCAATTGCAATTTCGACGAAAGATTATTTCATATATGTAAAAGTGCTTTAAAAATTCTTGTCATGCGATACTCGCCATTGCTGAAAATATGTCAAATATAAGGTCACGAAAGAACTGCTAACATTCAAGAAAGTCCGCCGCAAAGGAAGCGACCGCGATTGAAATATATTGCGGTGGAATTCCGATTTATGCAATTTGTGCATTCACCAGGTTATGCGAGTAATTTTTTATGGGAATTTTCTTTATTAATGAAATATCGTTATCGCAGTACTAGTTTGGTGTCATGTACTGTTCACGGAAGCTGTTTCCATAATTAATTCAGCACCATCTGCGATCAAAAATGCATGTTTTTGACATTATTCGTTGGGATATTTTTTAGTTCCCGCAGTGTCGTTGCATAATATAATTTTGCTTACGTAATTGCGACATTTTCCTACTTAATCATAAAGGTCACGCCGGTAACTTGGCTTTCGAAGAATGCCAACATTTACGCTGATAAGCAAGCAGTAATGCAGAAGAGACGTATATTCCCATCGAGCAGCAGTTTGATGGACTGCGTAAACCGGTCGCGCTGAGTTTTTTGTATTGTTTCCAGCACAGTGCAATGGCCAAAAATATTTTAACTATTAGAGCTGTTTACACCTCTTTTAAATTGAATGCGGGCCTTGAGGTACGCTGCGTTTTCTGATTTTGGACCGCAACCGGATGTGCAAATACGAAACCGAATTGGATTTTACTCCTTTGTAAAAACTACGGAAAGTTTACGTCACTCATGAAATGTTAACTGTAATTCTGAAAAATGACGCCGGTCAAAATTTATTATTAGATATGGTAGTCAAAATAATTAATTTGCATCGTGCGCTTAGGCTAAAACTACATAGTTAACCTCAGAGGCAGCTAACTATGTATTTATGCTTGGGTCTTGTGACGCATTACGACAAAACGGCAGACGAGTTTGCTAAATTAAGTTATATCCGACCGTTGCCTAGAGCGAATGGTCGTCGGCGCATTATGCTCAGTGAATGAATGTAAAAAGGTTACGTGTCTGTCTAAATGTGGTGCATTCTTGTAAAATAAGCAAATGGGTTCATGTGTATGATGCCGACTTGTGAGCCGTATGCCATATCGTATTGATATCAATTCTCTAGAGATAACAATAAACAGCTACTGCTGTGGTGGTTCAAATCAATAATTTAATGACGCCACATGTGCAAATTATCCAAAAGCATTTCAAAAAACTTTCTGGTAATAGATTGCATTTCCTTGATTTTAAATATGGCGGTTATTTAATAAAAAAACACTCCAGCAAAAAGTATGTAATATCAACAGAAGTTGGAATTAAGTACGCAGAGAAATTATTCACAGTGAGTAAATACGAAGACATTACATTGCACGATATTTAGCGGCATGTGCGAGCACACATTTTTGACAATAAATAATAAAATGCGATTGGGCGTGCTATGGCACCTCACAGTTTGCCTTAACAGGTTCAAAAATCCAGCAGCGAATATTTGAAGGACTCATATGCAAAACCGTGAAAGGTGAAACACAAATTAGAACTCAACTTTAACTCTGGCATATCATTTAATTTTTTCTTCTTCAGGCGAAACCAGACGTTGGGTATGACCAACTACTTACCTCCTTGACCTTATCTTCAAATTACCTTAGTTAGTATTCGAAAAAATGTTGAAGTCACATCGAGATATAGGGGACTTGAGAAGACATGATTCCACGCATGCAACATGTAACGTCATTATCGTCGGCGGTTAGTTTCCTTATTTGATCTATTAGTTAGAGGTCCGTATGTAACTCAGGCAATCGAAGCGCATTTTTGTAACGTGTCTGAAGCTGTAACATTGTGAACGATATCAAATGCCGCATATATACTGTTGACTGAGATGGTCTCCCCACGTCTAAGAATATCAGACGTTATCTTTTACCATTTTTATCACACTGACCTGAAGTACTTATTCCCGCAAAACTGACCTATTGGCATGGCTTTCCCGTTTTTGCCAAAGTAGAGGCAAGATCTAGAGTCACAATTTATAACTGCTTATCTATATTATTGCATAATTAGAAAATATTTCAAATATGTCCCGCTGCAGCTAAACAAACTAGAGATACCGCTGTAAACTTATAGGTACCTTTGCTGGTTATTATTTATAATGAACAGGTAAGTCAATTTCGGAAAACATTTGTTGCCCAGCAGAACCGAAGAAATATTTTCAGAAATTTTAAAATGTGTTCTGGATTGAAAATTATTAAGTGGGTGGGGTTAATAAATGATTATTCAACGACAAAATCCTAAAATATTCCGAACTCTTCTGGTTGTCGACAGTTGAATGCACATCACTTCAACCACCAGCAGAAAATACACTTTTTAAAAATGGCTGCTTAATTGCGCACATTTTTTTACACTGATTTTTGATGATCTTATAACTGTTAATATAGTTTACAGAACACTTTTACCAAACATGCTATATCATCTCAACTGGCATATACTCACATCGAATTTAAGTTGTATACTGAGAATGTAAATGTTAAGGTTTTCAGAAGTTTCTTAATTTCCGAATACGTTTGAACCCAAACAACCGTTTCTTTTTAGTTTAGCCACTTAGTCTTCAAAACGCAAGCATTTTTTGTAAGGATTATCACATTTTCCTCTATACTAATGAGAAGATACCATATAAAATTCACAGACATTTTAGAGGATACAGACTATATTACCCATTATATAAGGCGCACTGGTTATCGGACATGTGCGACTGGGTATGCATGAGCATACATAAAAGTTTTATAAAATCCAACAATCAAGCATTTTTAGATATTTAGTCTAAATCAAAGTGGATCTTCTTCCGAACGAAAAATAGAAGGTATATTTGTGTGCCACATATCTGTAAAATATATTTAAATTTAAAGGACTATCAAAAACTATAGTACAATAATTCTCACAACTCGCGTTGCATTTGCGAAATTTTTTATTACAGGAGATTGAAAATACATACATGCAAAATGTAAGGAGTCTGAAATATCATAGGTTTATGCCACATGATGATCACTATTGCATTTCGACTTATCTAATCCTTTCTGATTGGAAACACACGGTCGACTTCTGACCAACATTTTATGAAATCGGTCATTCACTGTAAACTTTCACTTATTCGCCAACACACATAAACATAAATAGGGGATATGCCAGAATGATCAGCCTATGCTTGTTTAAATGTTTTTGCTGCGCTTAAACAAACATGTTAATAACTTTAATCGTATATTATCAAAAGTTCTACTCCTGCAAGTTGTCATATGATTATGTTAAGACTCATGTTTTGACTCAAAAATATACTGTACAATTGGGTGTACCGAAGAATTAATCGCTCAAATTTTTTCATTACTTTTAGTTGTATCTTAAATTTCAACTCTACATTCCGGCAAAATACAGTGTGCTTCATGTTTTATGATTAAACCGACACAATTCGTACACGGTTTATTTCAACAACCCAGGTGAAATAACAAGTAAAGACGGTTTTGCTGACATTCTTGGCCAAATGAATGACTAAACCGTTTGTGTCCAAAGTCCGCAAATTAACTGTCGAATGAGATCATTGTGCCAAAATGGCAGAATGACAATCAACGTTAGTAATTCCGTGTTAAATTTTTGGTGCAGGTTTAATATATGCAGAAAACATCAAAAGACAGCGATATTTGTCAATGCTGACGGCCAGATAATAATGGTGATTCTTTTGGTCAGCGTCATCGGCTTAGGTCAAACACTCGTCCTACGTTTTTGTATAAGGTGCAGATCGCGAGGGCAGAGAAGCGGCATAAATATTAAAGCCTTTTTCTGAAAAACGACTTATCATTTAAACGCAACATGTGTGACATACCTAAAAAGTTTCTCTTTATGTCACATTGCATGACAATCGCTGAATCTGTCATTATTAATGTAGAATCGTTGGCATGTCTATTCGAAATTTTTTTCCTTTTGAAGCTGCAGTACGCTTCTTTGATTGATTATGCACAGACAAAATAAAGCTACCCAGGAAAAACTATCGATTATAAATCGGTCGAAAGTCCGTCCCAATCATACAGTTACCCCAAAAGCGTGTTTGCTTGTGTTTCCACAACCGTGTCAAAAGAGGAAAGATAAGAATCATGCTTTATGCTACGAAGATGTTGAAGGATGACACTGACTAAACTTATCCTAATTCGACTTCATATTACATGCGTTCAGTTGCAGGTCGTTTGCGCGTGCAAGCACCAGTTTACAGGCGACATGTTATAAATAACTTGCTGGAAGCCGCATTTGACGCTAAAAGGTTGAGTTCATTTATGGCTTTGTCCCTCCACTGAAGATTCGCAGGCCACGAGGTGGTCCTTTCTCGGGGAGTGATGCTCGCGTTTATTGTGTAAAAAACAATTCCATCAAGGTGCAATATTCTCTCGTTCGACAGCTCACTGGAAATTATGTAAAATTCGGCGACCGCAGAAATGTTTAAAAGTTGAAATTTTATCCAATCCGCTGTCCGATACGGGAGTCCAAGCAAGCTAGCAAGGCCATCCTTAACCTGAACCCAGGTAAGACAGGGTTTAGTTTTTGTTCTTATTCATCACATTAAATTTGACTGCCTTTCAAACTAACTGTTTGTCCGCATATTTAAAAAAAAGGTAAAATATTTCCTTTTATAACGTTTCAGTTGACATTGCAGCCTTAATTTATACGTTATCGTTTAGGTGGTGCAGCTTGCCGGTTATACAGGGAGGGTCATTCTATGACATCTTTAGCTTGTTTCAGCCTAGTAAGCTGTGCTCCATATATAACTATATGTGTGACATCACGAAAAATAATTGGTCACTGCTTTCTGGATATCAAATGCATTAAACTGCGTTCGCTGGCTCATTTGATACTTAAAATATCTTAAGGAAGTTTCGCTTTTATCCAAAGCTATTAATCAAATGACGCACAAAGTTAATTAATTATTCCTGCAAGAAACGTTTACGAAGTACACGAGAGAAAACCTAAAACATATCCATTGTAATTTATCAGGTCAACGTCCATGCATCAAATATGAACTGCAATGAATCCAACTATAGACACATTTCAGAGCACTCTTTTTGTCTAGACCCAGTCAGTCGCTAGGCTTACTTTTATTCCAGCATTCCGTGCACTTATATAGAATTTACTTATTCAGATTTTCCTATGTCTAAGATATTTAAGATGCGCTGGCAGTATCATCTGTAACATATGCGACCGGGCGGTTTGCGCTGTCGGATAAAAAAGCATACAGTATATTGTTTTCCAACCTTTTCAATAAAATACTAAAATAACATATGATGAACATAAACATATACGAATCAAATAAAGATAGCCTACCCTTAAAAGTACGTTGCAGTCAATGCGCGGAAACCCAAGATTGCATGCAAGTTTTACAATTGCGGCTCCTTTAATTTTATTCAAATGGAAGCATGCATGTAGTACAGGGTCAGGCTGAATAATCATTTGGATTTTCGTTTTGCTGTTGACTGTGTACGGAAGGTCGGCTGAAAATTCAGTAGTGGCATGCATTCTGCTTAGTAAGATATCGTTAATAAAGACGCTTCCTCCGGTGCGTGGACACGATGGCCAGGCTTTTTAAGCGAAGATAAGAAGGTTAAACATAGAATTCAATTTGAGTATGCTTGTTAAATGTTAAAATGATGTTAAATTTTTAAAAAAATAAACTTTATTGTCCATGTTGATTAGGCAAAAATGCAACAGAGGTGCAGCATGGGGGTGAACTCAAGATATATCAATCGAAATACTACAACTTTTTGAAAATTGATCATCTTGCAGCGCAATTTTCTAATAAATCAGTTTCCTCAGGATGCCGGATGTTAAAAATGAATTTTTGTGCCTGGAAAGCCTGAACTGTGTAAAGAATGACTGTTTATACAGCATGCATTTGTTGCCTCTAAAAATGTAATTTAATTTTATGCAAATAGTAAAATAAGATATAAATTGTTTTGCATATTTGATGCGAACTGACGTTTACTTCCTTTTTTCTCTTAAAAAGTATATATTCTGGTTTTAAAAAAAAGTTTTCTATTGTAAAATCTTTTAATATCGCGAAATGACTACTCAGAACTTCTCATGTAGCTGCATCTACGAGTGTGGTTTGTAAATTTAAAATATGGCTGAAATTCACTGTTAACTTTTATCATCCCTCTTTTTCTTCTAATATCGTAGAAAAGTATATGGTTTCCTTTACGCGGTATAAATGTGTCTTGTAATTTGCAGAATTTAAATGCAAATGTAACAATTCAGTGGCTTCAAGCATATTGCGGAATTAGAAACGTTTGGAAATCCGAATAATACCCATTGTTTCAGTATAAAATTGAAAGAAAACATAGAGTTCCACCGAATGATCAAAATAATAAAAATCAGTATGTACGTTTTGTTTGAAATATAATTGAATATTTAAGGGCACTGATAATCAACAAGAAAATGTCTACTGGTTTAGTAGTCATTTATTACAGATTTATGAATATTTATACAACCGGAAAAAAATCATTTAATAGGGGGCATGCTGAAGTACGTAAATAATTATAGATTTACGCTGCACGATACTTAGTTTTACAACACAAATTTATGAATATTTTGAAAACAGCAACGCATTTGGGAATTTCCGATTGATATATCATGAGGTAGCCCATCTACTATACATCATGCCAAGGTGTGTTTAACAATAATAAGAATAATTTCCCTAAATGTTTTAAAATTTAAGCTTTGCCAAATTATGTGTACGTCAGGACACAAATAATCTGCACTAGCAATAAGGCTAAGTCTAGGCATAATTCTGAATTATGCAAAATATTGCTGCTGAGTTAATGAACAACTTGGTAAAGTTTTGGCTGAAAATCTTAAAGGCCTTTCCAATCAGAAAGGATTACTAGGTGGTCTTGTGATATGGTTTTAAATGCGGCATATTTCTATAGTATTACTGACTCTCCGAAATATTGGTTTTTATGTTTACTTCTTTTAGCCTCTCCCTGAATTAAACTCCAAAATTTTGACCACAGCGTCTGCACGTGTTTTGTTCATCCGTTTTCAACAGTCTTTTGCATTGAAATGTGCATTGCTGAAAACTGGCACATTTATAATATTTTTTACTTGTTCTGTAGGAAATTAAAATTTATGCGTATTTTGTACCCTGCAAGGTGTGATCTTTGTTTTATAAACGTTTTCTTTTAAGCTTTTTAATTTCGTGCAACGTGTTAGCCTACAGAACCCAGCAAGAGGAGACCTTTTGGTTTAAATAAACATTTTAATATTAACTTTTTAATATCGCGCATCGCTTATGCATACAGAACCCTTCATGCGTGTTTACCAATGCTCCGCAGAAAATCGGCCAATTAGTCCGCATCCACTGCGAAATTTAAAAAAATATTTATAGTATTTCATTGAACGTATATAGGAATACTATAATTTTTTACGATGGAGGCATGCGCATTCGGGACTAAACTCGCCAACCGCTGGTGCAATAGCTAATAGGGCTCAAAAATTATTGGGATTTGAAAAGAACTAACCGCTTTACATCCAAGCCTAAGAAACTCTTCTACTCGAAATTTCGAAACTTCAGAATATTAGAAATTCAGCTAGCATTTCATAAAATCGGTCACTCATCGACTGCCAATTCTATCAAAATTCGATGCAAGTGTAAAATCTGCTTCTTTATATTTCCAGTCAAGTAATGGATATTCGTCACAGCACTGTCATTTTAGAGATTTTGCAGTGGCGATGTATTTCGTTACACTTTACAGTGCTGGTGTGCCCATTACGCCGTCCATAAAAAACCAGATTATGAAATACAATACGCTTATATGCGGACAACAGCCTAGAATAAATAATATGGAACATAGGTAGTTAGTGTTAAAGAAAGATTTGCGGTAATATAACCCACACGTCTCCAACACCTTCCGACAGGCAAACGTTAGCCATATTTGCTGAGTCAGCGTAAGCAGTACAAAAAAACAACTGCAGGTCATGCTTCTCGATGGCGGGTAAACTGTCTTTTCGTACGTCTCTTTTAATTTACATAAAAATATCCTAACAGCAAAAAGTATGCGCATAGAAGCAAAGACTGGCTATGTGATTTGCTCAGAGGCCTTCGGCGCGTGTGTGTGAGTGTGATTGCGTGCTAGGTCTTATGAATTATGTGCATATGCTATTCCATAATTCAGCAAGTCGTAATGCTCGTTGCGATGTGTGCGCTGGCAATTCTCTGACACCTTACTCCCCGGTCGGTAGATGCGCTTGCGTTCCTGTCGCGTTCATTGCTGTCCAACCTTCGATGTTCTTCCAATTGTTGTTATTTTTAATCGAAATACTTGTGTACTTGTTCGTTGGGAATGACGAAACGTGGTGATGCGCTTAGGTGCGGGTTCGGTCGTGCCAACCCCCCCCCCCCAAACACCTCTCTCCCCCGCCATCTGCATGTTGACAGAGTCCCGACACCGTCTCTGCTCGAAATTGGTGTGTAGTACACGGTTAACACTGTAGGAACCAACGGTCAAAATCTCGTGTTTTGCACCCACGATAAATGCCACTGTTATGTCTGACTTAAGTTCCATGCCGTTCAACTTCGGATGTGGACAATGGCTTCTACTTGTGAACAATACTGGCCAGTATGTGCTGTGGACCAGGAGTATTGTGGCAGGCGTATTTTCGGTTCTTGACCTGCCAACAGCCTGCGTCCATTCCCATCTCCAGCCGGTTACACTTGGTCAGGACATAAGGTCTATTTCGGGAAGCAGGACGATGAGGAGGAGAGCGTGCGGTTCATGCCACACAGGCGTAACATTGTCTTGAATTAATTTGTACACCGTTTTCCATCAGCTGTAGGGTACTCGGTGAACATCGTCGGCAACGACATTCTAATGAAGCAGATAGTGCGCAGAATTAGGTTTGCCTGGAATCAGAAAACAAACATAGGGAACAGTCGATTTTTTGGAAAGAAAACACGCGTTACTGAAGTCTGTGGTCTAGTACGGACACCCGGATGTCCAGAAGATGGGTGAACTGATAAAATGAAAATCGAAATCTAAAAATGTGTTCTTTTCTCAAAAAATATTACTTAAGTAGGACTTTAGAACTACTCATCTTGCAGAATGATTCTATCAAACGTCGGCCTGTAAAAAAGTTTTTCCGGCCACACGCACATTATAGAAATGATTACGCATGTGTATGCATTTTTCTGATCAATTTTTAATGTTTTTAAAAGAATGATTTGAGTTCTTCGATGGTATGCATATAATCATTCATTTTTCTGCTGATTTGGCAGATTATCACGCCATTTTTGGACATTAGATGGACACTAGATGAAATTCATAAAATATTCCTGCTGATTTAAGTAATATTGCAAACCTTTCATGCACCATTTCGACTTCAGAGCCAAAACTTTATATGACCAGGTATTTCGCGGCATTCAAATTCGTATGGCAACAATCTGTTAAAAAAACAGAATTATACCCTTCGTCAAAGATTAAAATAAAGAGAAGACAAATTTTCTATAAAAGGAATAATATAATGAATGTGCTATGCATGATTTTTATGGAAAATAAATGTTTATTTAATGGCATTGAAAATCAACAAGAAATAGCATGGATTTTGCATGCGGTAGAAATAAAGTATATTCTAAAGTCGGAAACTTAAAGCAGCTGAATAACTATACCGCAACTCTACAGAGGGACAAATCCTACCACCCTTCTCATGAAATCGTTAAGAAATTAAAATAATTTCAGGATATTAATCAACATTTCATGAATGAGTATGCCTTCCGAATCCATAATATGTCCGTGTCGGAGCTTTTTGGTGGTTTCAGCATATTTCGGGTGAGGCATGAATTTATTTAGAAGAACCTTAACTGAAATCTTGTTGAAATTAAAGTTTACTACTGTGGGAGAGAATAGTAAGACCAGAACAATTGCCCCTTTACAATTAAATGAATTTTTCTTAGCCATTGACAGTGATGTCCGGAAGTAACAGTTTTTATCAGATATTCGGGTATTCCTTAAAATGTTCGGAAAGAATTTGCGTTTGTCACAGGTGTTCGTGGAGCGTGCGAAATACGTATACATGGCAGCATCCCAATAAATTTCCACAACTATTTCTGGGAATGGACTATATAATGCATTTATCATAGTCGCGTTCACTAATGCGATAATCGTAAAGTGGGACGTTAATTAGCGGTATTAGCTGCACAGTGCAGTAGATGACTTTGACACCTACACAGAGCCTTACAATTACACGCATACAGTGCTTTCCCTTGAAAATCGTATAAAATTTGCAAGCCTGAAAAAAGAACCGACAGCTACCATTAGGACGTGAAGTGCCATTTCATAGTGTCATGCGTTTAGTCAGTCATACTGGGCTTGAGAACGACTAAATTGAGAACCCGCGTTGTTTTGTCACTAAGCGTGAGTACTGCTATTACTCCAAACTTTGAGCTGCATACTCGTTATGTCTATTGTGGTTGGACACTGTTAACTATGCTTCGGCTAGAGTCAAGATACTAGTCTCTAACTCCATCATCGTCTGCAGGTCTGTAAGCATTCAGGCGCGACCGATGACACATACTGCTGATGCTGTAGTCGTCGTCGTCGTCACCGCCGCGTCAGCCGTCCCCTTCAGTCAGAAGTGCTACTGATACCTACTGCGTTACCTGCAACCAGGGCCTTGCATGCGGGTCTGCATCGCCATCTGGGTTCATGCAGCCTTAGAAAGAAACTCGTGTGATACTGTTAATAAGGCTTGACTTAAATGTCGCTGTTGAGATTATCACTTTGCTACCAAATTTCTTCCTCGCAAAAAACGAAAAATATCACAGAGTCTGGTTTGTTGGACCTAAACAGACGATGATGCCTTGCGAATGGGGAGGGGGCGTTTGCTCGAAATCTTACTGCTTGATCTGTTGACCATACCTCCAGACTCCTGCGTTATGTAGGCCGAAATGGGGAGTACATAGTGCATAGCGTATAGTTTAGTGTTAAGGGCCTTGATGCCTCCAAATGCTGGCTGAAAACGACATCTTTGTTTCGTCCCAGTTCTAATGGTCTGACGTCAAGTAAGGATGGAGCAGGTTCACATTTTAGCAAAAGTTAATATCCTATTATTACTACTGCCAGTTAGTCGGCGAAACTTGGAAGAACCATTGAAAAACAGTTATGGTATAGGTGGTTCAGGACGACAAGTTAAGCCAGTTCTGTTATGGTCTTGGGAAGTGGACGGGAAGTCTAATAATGAGACAAACTTTAGCTGATGCATCCTTTGGGCGGCTATGGAAAGGAACATTATATGCTTGTTTTGCAGTCATTTCTGAGGAAATTGAAAAGCAACAATGTACAGTACATATAGCATTCGATGTGGCAACGTGGTCTACATAAGAGCCATGTTATGAGTGATGCTCAGGCTATGCATTTGATCATTGCTAGTTGCGTATAATATCGTTAAAATTAAGGAACGTTCGGGTCCCCGAAATGAAAATAGATATTATATTCTGTGCGAATTTGGAGAAATGCCTTTACGGGATGATATAATTCGTACTGCTTTGCTGAACAATTTTCTGGGCAGCACCTAAATATTTTTGATACAGCTTCTATCTCATTGACCGCGAGCCTGCAATTTACGATTTTTTGCATAAAAACTACTTATATTTCGTCACAGAAAGGTTAAACAACAAACAAAGCCAGACAAGTTGAAAACGACATCTCGTTTTCCTGTCTGCTGTGATGGTCTTAGGTCAAATGAGGACGGAGCAGGTTCAAGAATTTAAAAAAACGTGCATATTTAATTATTACTTCTGGCAAATAGTCGGCAATATTAAGAACTATCGAACATCAGTTATGGGATAGGCGATTGAGGACTTTAAGATTAGCGTGTTCGGACAGAGTGTTAGGGAGGGCACAATGAGTCTGGTGATGAAATAAACTTTTTCATTTGTAGCTGAAGTGCCAATTAAGCGGCTACGGAAATGAATATTTCAGGCTTTTTTTGCAGTCAGTTATTAGGACACTAAAAAATACAAAGCCCTGTACATCGGATAATGGATGTGTAACCGTGGTCCACATAAGAACCAGGTTATGGATGATGCTTATGCGATGATATTCATCAGTGCTAGTTGCGCAGACTATAGTTGAACATGAGACACATTCGAGTCCCCGGAGTATACATACATAATACATTTTTTTCCGAATTTGGAGAAATGCCGTTGCCAGCTGACATAATTCTTACTGTGTTGGCGGACGTACTTTTGGGCAGCTACGCGCATTGGCAGAAGCACATAAATATTTGGGATACCACCGCTAGCTCATTTAACACGAGCCAGCCTTTTACTATCGCTCGCACAAGAACTACTTATATCTCATCAAAGAAAGATTAGGAAAAGAATAAAGCCAGACACAAAGGAGCAAATATCTTAACGCAAACTACCATTTTTGCATGGTCCTTGTCATAAATACCAGACAAGGGTATTACGCACAGGAAAATCAGACCTGAGTTTACAACATACTTCCTCCCCGAGTGAAGTCTCCTTAAACCTGTAACAAGGAACGCCCATTAACTTTTTCGATCGAATTACTGTTTGAGTAAACGCCGGTGACGGCATTTCACGGCATATTTAACCACTTAAATCCCTGCAATGCTGGACTCAGAATTCCAGCATAAACGGCACAACAACAGAAAATTACCATAGATTCATTAAACCTGAGCGAGATAGTCAACAGTTCTGCCAGTAGAGTGGTTTTGGTAGACGCCTTAACGTTAGGCTGGTGATTCTGAAACCGGTCGCTCACAAAAGGCCATTGAGTGTCAAGAGCCTTCTCAAAAAGTTCAGAAATACTAGACTGTCAATATAATGCTCAAGGGTTGTTTACAAGCTCCTAGTCAGACCTCCTGTCAGCTAACCGTAATTATTTGCCACGATACCTGAGGTCGTTTATATGAGGGATCAACAAAATGCACTTGGCAACAGTTAGACATTTGTTCACGCTAGCCTACAGGTCAGTGCATGTCGCCAACGCCTTGGAAAGCACTGCACAGTCACAGGGGAAACAGATCCTCATCATAATTGACACAAATATCAGTAGCCTATATCGCTATTTCAGCAAACGCTGTTTTCTTTGATAAATCAGTGCGGCTGTTCTTTTTAACCATATCGTCCTCAAGAATTTATATACATGTATATATCAAGTAAGGCTACAGGCAGACATAATAAGGACAAGGATGGCCATTCGAAACTTACTAGTCGTAGTCGGCCAGGCTTTTAAACCAGGACGCCGAACGTTGTTTTGTCATCGTTGGCATTTCCAATCAGGGCGGTAAGACGTTAGCCTCCATAATTTTCAATAAAAACCAAAGTCATGGAAGCGTCAGGTATTCAGGAAACCTTCCCATGGAAGAAACTGAATGACGATATTTAATAACCCGAAAGGCAGTCTAAAAAGTGTTTTATCAATATGTTTTTAGCTACAATAGATCCGCTAATGCATCCTGTGAGTGAGTGCAGTTTAGGACAAAAGCATTCGCTGAAAACTGCCAATGCAGTAATCTTGTATAACTGCCGTGCACAATGATAAACGAAGTTCGATTCTATTTGCTCAAGAAAATATTTATCCAGAAAGTGCCATCCAAGTATTCCTTGAATCATGCGCCGCTGTGAAGCGGCTGGTTGGTCTCAAGAGAGAGCCCCTAAGACACACGGAATGAGTAAACTCCGTAATTAAGATCGATGAGGGCCATCTACAACTGTATATTCCCGATCGAAACCAACAAGACAACGGGCCCGTCGCTCAGTGTTTAGAGGAGTTGTACTTTCAGGCGACAGTTCGGGGGACCGGACCCGAGGTGTTACACAATACGGGATTGGGTATAACGGACTGCTGACGGCTAATAAGTCAGAAATGGCCGTTCCGTTCTCCCTTTTCTTTGTTGGTAGTGCTGCTCTGCGCCATTTTACTCAAACCAGTACAGGCGCTGACGAAGCGCGCGACCGAGAATACCCACGGCGGTCCAATGGACGGTGTCCCGCAGTTGACACAATAAAGTCTCCGTAGGGGCGTTTTCATCAGGGGCTAGCAGGTCTTCAAATTGATTAATACCTCACAAAAGCCTTATCGAAGGTCCTGATAAGCATGGATATCTTCACGGCGCACGTGTTCTCAGTATGAAAAGTATTGTTATATTATTTAAGCTTAGGATATTTTATTATATTTCGATAATCATTCTTGTTATAAGAGTGTGACTTAATTTCGCTGCGCGTACTTACGTAGAATTTACTGTTCTTTGCGCATAAAAAATATAACGAGGTCAAAATTCTTAATTCCTAGGCTATTTTATTACGGTTTTTTATCTATGATTTATTTGGAGGATGCTTCCACCATAATCATTTACGAGAAACTGCTTTTTCGTCTAGATTTTGCTGTTGATTATGAGGTATCATTCGAAATACTTCCGTTTGTGCTAAAAAACATTATTCGGGAAATGCTGACTCAAATGGTCTTTGCGAATGGCACACACTGTCTCTGACTCTGCACTAGTTTCAGTGCCCATTTAAAGTTCGCGGATCGAATTCCCATGCTGTACACTACTGAAACCTGAGGGCGGCTATGAAGTTGATAGCTGTGCTTTGGCGAGTGTAAAAACAACGAAACGAGGAATCCGACAAACAAAGCAAATTAGGTTGATTGATAAAATTTTCAATATAATACATACTGTGTGACTTTCCAAAGCCATGCAAAAGGCTATCTTATTAAATCTTTACTGAAATGCTAATACAAATATTTGACACGAAATTATTACTTTATTAGTGATGTAATATTAGCTAACAATTAATGCATTCCCCAGATTATAGAGACGTGCTGAACTGAAGCAACCCAACCGACATCAGATCGGACACACCTGAGTCCACACAGACGCAGTTGGTCATGCGGCCACTTAAACGTATCACGTCCACTTGCAACAACAACCTAAGCCACTGTGACACCATCCCTCGGCAAATGCAACACACGCTGATCGGAAATTACAAGACTTTGGCCCGCGAGACTACAAAGACGGCTGCCACCACTGTTACAGAGACACTCAGACATGACGAGACGCAGTCAGCGCCAAGCCTGGTTTCCCAGTGGCCAATGTCGCCTGAGAGGACAACTCCGGGCTTTGTGTACATAAACTTACCCATTCTGATGCTTTTGCCTTCTAATTTCAATCGGGAATTTGGTCTAATGATTTTAGCACTCTGAACAACCACTTCCACCGTCTAGCCGTTACAGTGTCAGTCGGCTTGCTTTCAGTCCACACAGGAGGTAAAAAGGTTTATGCATGCTGCCGAATCCCTACCGGCAATTAAAAAGTGCTCTCATATATTCACCCATATCTAGTTTCCTTTTAGAGGCATTACTGTAGGCATTACAGGGCAGAGCCCTTCCCAAAGTCAACCCTACATTTTGGCTGCGATACGTAAATGGAACTTTTGTCTTCGCAAAGAAAGATTGGTTAAATCTGCTCCATAACAATATTCACTCGATATTTCCAGGAATCGAATTGACTTTCGAAACAGAGATCCATAGACAACTCCCATTCCTGGACGTCATTGTACGTTGAAATACTTATGGATCAGACGTCAGCTTATCGCAAAATCCTATGTTCTAATTGTGATGCCGTTTATTTTGTACATGCTGGAAAATCTGTCCTTCCCCGTATACATGAGCAATATTTAGCGGTGTAGAGATGCGACAATCTAACCTGGGTGGCCATGCACACACTGGCCACTGGGCAAGAATTTGCACGGGAAAACACCAACATAGTTGTCGCCTGCCTAAAAAGGAAAAGCCGCAAAATCCTGGTACTAGTGCACTCAGATAAGGCACGAATCAACCGGAATATCAATTCAGATGCCACATACAAAAATATATTTAGAAAAAAATTCAAAATGACTCAGCCACTCCCGAGGTAATGACCTTCAGCAATCAACTTTTGCCAGACTCAGTCTAGAACTTAAAAGATTTTGAACGCTTGTTGGCTGAAGACGGACTGGGGGAACCAAACCGCAAAATTTACACAATAATGTTTGCTGTTTCCTGAAGAACTCCACCTTTCAAATTATATTGCTTACAATATCTGATTTTAATTGATATATATGTATATATGATAGAAGAGAATATGCGAGCACCCGGACATAAATGAGAAGAAAAAGACGATCTCGAGAACCATAGTTATATTGCCCTGACATTTCAAAATCAAACAAGCTTTCAACGACGGAGGTGAGTATTCTACCGCGCCTCACAGTATTTAGAGGTGGTGACGATGTCGTTACAATTAGATTGCGTCTATTCGGGGACCGTCGTTCGGACGCTAGCTGTCATCGCACGTGTTTGCATTGACCCTAGCTCTTGTCCTAGGTTGGCAATCTTCTTTGACACCCTGCAGTCACTTGTGTTCTCACCTGCCGCATGAGTGGCAGTGATTATAAAAACTTCATCGGGTCCGTCGGCGTTACTGCGATCGTTCGTCCTCACATCTACCAGATAAGTGAACGATGCGGCTGTAGTTACGATCGCACCTACGTCAGATTGCGGTTGAAGTACAGCTGCGCGTGTGGCCTTCATGGACACGGCCATACTTGGGTTTCTGTCTTTTGGCAGCCTGGCTCTGCTCTTCTGTTCACTGAGCTGCGTCCGGAGGACCTGGTAAGCCTCAGGAAGCGCTACAGTGCGGTTGATGGAGTTCGCGCTAGTGTGCCAGGCCCCGATTGTTTCCCTTGTGATGCGGTCATTTCCCCAGCCCAGGATTTCAGCATTCTGTAAGGTGAACGTGTTTCCAGAGTTGGCACAGTGTTCTGCCACTAGAGAGAACGGGTCCATCCGCCTAACTACCCTCATGTGCTCTGCAACACGGGTGTGCAGTCGTTTGCCGGTCTCTCCAATATTGTTCATATCACAGGAACTGCACTGGATCCGATAAATGACATTCGTTGTTTTGCCGCGTAGCAGGGGGGTCTAAGGTCTCATGAACAGATTTCGAATTGTTGACCCTGACCGATGGGCAATGCTAATCCCCAGTGGTCTTAGCAGACGGGAAATCGCCTCAGAGACGCCGTCAATGTAAGGAAGCGTCCGCCAGATTTTTGGCCGTTCTGTCACCGAACTTCGGCTTGGACCAGGCTGCCTGTTGCGTTCTATGAAGTTACGAACATAGCCGTTCGCCATGAAGAGGCGCTGGAGGTTGTGTAATTCTAACCTTTTGTCGTCTGGCTCGCTGCAGTCTGTTTCTGCACTTTTGTACAATGTTCGCACACGGCTGCGTTTGTGGGATAACGGATGCTTTGTGTGGTTGCTTAGGATTTGGCTGGTATTGGTGGCCTTCCTATACACCGTTGTTTTTAAATGCCCATTTGGTTTCCGATGAACCAGTAAGTCCATGAACGGCAGTTGTTTGTTACTTTCCGCCTCCATTGTGAACTACATATCAGAAGAGACAGAATTCAGGGCATTGTGAAATTCTTGAATCATTTCCCGCTTGATGATAACAAAGACCGAGCCCAAAAAGTTGGCCTGTTGATCTCAAAAACTGCGATCTCCAATTTATGTAACAGTGCTTCTCCCATGGAGCCCGAAAGCGGTGATCCCATCGGTGTCCCCTTGATCTGCTCATATACTTTCCCTTCGGACGTAAAGAACGTGTTCAGGCAGAAATTAAACAGTGGAATTAGATGTCTCCGTTTCACGCTTTCGCCGTCTCTTCGTACTTTCTTGCGAGCAGTTTGCCAACCGTTTCGACTGCTAGCTATTGCGGGATCGAAGTAAGGAGAGAGGTGACGTCGAATATCACCATGATCTCATCTTCGTTTAGCCGCACCCCATTGCGCCGCTCCAGAAACTGAACCGCTGAGCAGACGGTCGTGGTCGAGTCCGAGGTGAGAGACCTCATGCTGCGGAATAGCCACTTCGCGAACCTATATCTGATTACGCATTATAAAAACAAGAGTTCGTCAGGTCTGTGTGAGCAGGCATGAATTAAATATGAATTAAGAAGAAGCACATGTGGTGGCCGTTTGAAATTATGTCATCGGTTTTTTTTTACTGTTTTTATTGTGTTTAAAATGGTGCAGTTTTTTGATGAAATAAGGAAAGCGATTATACAAATTTTGCAAGGTGTGTTGGCATGCTTGTTACTGCCAATTTTTTAAATCACTATTTAAAAAGATGACCAAGTCCCTATAGTTAACATTTTGTGATTTGTTTCAGACGCAAACCTACGTCCTACGATCGGCAGTGATCGGATACCGCCCCGTTGATTCTATGAAAATTAATGACGGAGGATTTTGAAGCAGTGACGGAATTCAAGCGCATTTTCAGAAATAAGGACATTACCTTTTGACGGACTTGTTTTCAATGATTTCTGGCATTAAGCGCATATTTAGATACCAAATGAAACACAATGGAAAGTGGAGACGTTGGAAGCCATTGGCCGAATTGCGAAAAAGGCATCATCATTTAGTGCGAACATGGCATGCATCTTATGAACGATGCACAAAAATGAACTTGTTACGTCACTTATAATCAAAACTTAGCTAGTCTTTTTGTAAAAATAAAGCGAACGTCTTGAACCGCTTTGAATTTTTTGCACTTATTTGTCGGATGTTATTATTTCCAAGGCGCTAACATGAGTGAAAACTGAACGTCCAACATAACCTTCATTCTGTTTACGAAGTCATCTACACTGATTATGACTGAAGGTTATGCTTATAGCTACTCCTTAGTTATCCTCGAGGATTTCGTTCAAATCGTGTTTTTTAAGTGAATAGGCAGGAAAAGTTCAACAGACATTGATGTTTAATTGCCGACGCGCAGACATTTGCGTCAATTTTCAAAACTTATAAGAAATCAAGTGAACTTTTGCCTATTGCGCTGACCGCATAATGACTTATCATTTTTCTTCGGGTATAGCAAATAAACTGCGACTTTATCCTAGGAGTAATAGGTTTTCTTAAAATATTTTCAAAGGTAAATTCGTAAGCGCCGGGTCATCTTGCTGCCCTTAATTACCAGCTACACGCATCAGTTGACATCAGCGGCTATATGCGTAATAGGACAAGTGCTTTTCCAGCATTTATCGTTGATTTAAGTCCAGATACACATGCCGAACTCGCATTTAACCCAATTACAGCCACAGCTATTTAGGCGGTCGTCACTTCGTATGTCTGCAAATACTATAGTGAACGTGCGTGTAGACATTTGCCTGTAATCATTTTAGGGCCGAGTTATTTGCATACGATGCGGTCTGTAAATTTCAAGATGGCTTGTGCTACGGTTTGGGACATGAAAACAGCATTTCAACGCTAATCACTTAACCGATGCACAATTCTCATTCTTATGTTCGTCATCGTAAAGCAGAGCATGTGTCCATCTATAGCGGTTAAAACTAACGTCCCCAAAAATGCTTATTAAAATTTGATTAACGAACAGTGTTTAAGAATATCTAAATCTTGCATCATTCCTCATGGTTGTCAACATACTGCTAAGCGATGTCTAGGAGAAGGCATAAAAGCACTTTGTTTCGAAACTAAACCGATGCTTCACGATCCACTAAAACTCGAGTTACCAAGGAGTCCTGCACTCTCCCATCACTGCGAATTTTACGTCTTTACTAGTGCACTACCTCAAGAAGATGGCAATATAGGCTTTTTAATGCTTAACAGCCCCATAAATCGGCAAGACAAAAAACCGAATCGTAATCCTCTATGGTTTCGTTCAAGTCCTATTTTGTTTGAGTAAATAAGCAGGAAACGTTCAACAGAGATTGAAGTTTAATTGCTCACGCGCAGACGTTTGCGTTGATTTTCAAAACTTGTAAGAAATCATGTGAGCTTTTGCCTATTGCACTGACCGCATAATGACTTATCATTTTTTTCTTCGGCTAAAGCAAATAAAATGGGACTTTATCCTAGGAAAAAGAGGTGTCTTTGATGACCCGATGCAAGTGAAGTAGCTATCACCGTATCACCTTGCTACCCAGAGTTACCACTTGCACTCATCGATTGACATATATGGTTGTATGGGTGAGAAGATGAGGGCATGACCGCGTCAAGTTCACTAACATGTGTCGTTGATGTAAATCCAGACACACGTGCAGAACTCGCAGTCAACTCAATTGCAGCCACAGCTATTTAGGCGGCCATCGCTTTACATGTCTGCAAATATTGTAGTGAACGCGTGTGCAGACCGTTGCCGGTAAATATTTTTGGACTGATTTATATGGATACGATGTGTTTGGGCTTGTTTTCACCTGCACGTAGATATTGCAGTCTGTGACTTTCAAGGTAGCCTGTGCTACGGTTCCGGACGCGAAAACAGCAATTTCAATGATATTCACAAAATCAAAGCAGATTTCGTATGTTTATGTTTCTCTTCCAAAGAGAAGCATGTGTGTTGATATGATGGCTAAATCTCGTTTCCACAGAAAAACCTCTGTTAGTCTTTTATCGTCAAATAGTGTTCCAAAATATGTTAATTTAACATAATTCCTTAACGGTGTCAACAATTTGCTAAACGATGTCAAGGAGAAAGCGTAGTGGATTTCTTTGGAAACGAAACCCATGCATCATACCCCGAGTTAAAAGTGAGTCTCGCATCCCTCCATCTCCACAAATCGTGCGTCTTCACTATAGCACTTGATAGGATGATAGTTGGTAGCGGTGCCCACAGACTGCACCATAGGACCTCCTTTTTCGATTTCAGTAGCTGCGATTGCGTTCTCATTATGCTTCTAAATTCACGCGCACGCTGTATTACCTGTATCAAATTCATTTTAGAGGTGCTATCCTGGGCAGATTTGCACCGGTAACGACGACAATGAGGCTTACCCTATATCAACTTTCATTAGAAGAAGAAGTCGGCAGGCGTGTCCACAGAATCCATAATTTTTCCCAATGGATTGATTTCCGTAGCTATAATTACGTTCTAATAATGTTTCCAAATTCACGCGCGCGCTTTATTTCCTGTACAGATTCATTGTGGAGGTACTATCCTGGGCGGATCGGCAACGGTAACGATGTCAATGAGGCTTTCTCTGCATCAACTTTCACAAAAAAGGTAGCTTTTGACTGCCTCATTCATTGTAGAGGTACTATCTTGGGCGAATTGGCACCGGTAACGATGACAATGAGGCTTAACCCTTTATTTACTTTCATTAGCAGAGGTAGCTTTCGACTGCCTCATTAGTTTCGGATTTTCTCTTTCTCCCAAACTAATTTTCCGCATAAAAATCTTACCTGGCTTGCGTTGCGGCATCTTGAGTGCCGCTGCTTGACTTTCGTTTTCTTCTGTCCATTATGTTGGATGGAATTCCATAGCACACACTGTTAAATAACCTTCGGACCAGTTGCCTTTTTCTCATTGGTTATTCGCCTTCACCTGCTTCTCTTTCCAATCTGAGGCTAGAAGGAATTTATTCCGCATACCGTTCAAAGTCTCCTTGCTCATTCCCAGGCCTTCCTTGATTATTTCACCTAATCTAAATTAGGCTTTCACTTTACCTGCAGCGTCAATTGCTAGCAATTACTACAACCGCCATTTACCCGTCCACGCAACTGTTCCATCCGTATAGGTCCTATTAACATCGGTCCCGATTTAAGGGCAGCTGGGAGTTTGCGGCGTCAGGAGGGCTACCAGGTATCATCTCACCAAGCACTTTTTCCAGAATATGACAATATAGGCTTTTCAGTGGCTTAAGAAGCTGCAACCACTAAGGCACGCTAACATTTTGGACGGCAAACGGTATGACTCCAGTTTGACTCCGGTTTTTTCCTGCAACCGGTTTTAGGGATATTTTTCTAGGTGACTAATCAGGGCCTGGTAAGTCGGCAGAGGTTTACCAACCAATATCAATCTTATCAGTGTCGCTAATTTTGCATTTTTTTAAATGTTATATCAAGAAAAGCAATGGGTAAATAAAAAAATTCTAAAGAATGCAGGTCTTACGAATTAATTGTGCTAAATGACAGATAAGTGCTTTGCTTTCTGTGATGAAGATTTATTTCGCAGTCGAAAACTAACTTAACGAGATACCAGAACAGATGTGTGAAAAAGTTGCGGTTTAACTTACCAGACAACTGATAAGAATTCCAGAAAATCGGAAGAATGTGGTTTGGATATAGCAAGCTGACAAGGACCTGTCATAGACCGCCTCGCATACGTTTACGCTTAGTGCGTAATCTCTTATGTAGGACTCGGTTAATTTCATCGCTGCCCATTATCAGAACGGCGAATATCGTAATTCATTTAAATTTAAAAATACTGCAGACGTGCTAACTCATAAAATGTTAAACAAAATTCATAAATGCATTTTTTCCCGAAAAACTTAATTTAACTTAATTGTAAAACTAATCATCGTGAAGTACAATTTTATAATAAGTCAGTTACGTAAAGACTATCTTTCTGCCTGCATTCAAAAAGAATATCTTGTTAAAAATGATTGTATCTGCTGCATGCATTTTTTATCTATGATCGATGCCCATAAAAGTGCAATTAAACCACTTAGGAAACATGCATATAATGTGGCTTATTTGCTCTTTTGGTATATCATTACGGCTTCTTTCAGATGTATGTTTGAAGGAAAGGTATAGTTTGTTTACAACTTTTCTTATTCCCTAACATTTTTGAATCCGACCTGCAGTTTCATTTACACCAAAGGTTTCCAAAGTATAGGCTGTACATTTTCTTCGTACGGAGAACCATATATTTTTCTGCGGTATAAGGAGACGAACGTATGATATTCATAAAAATAACAGATGATTTGAGCCATACTGGTACCTTTATAAGCCTTACTAGCAACTGCAGAGACACGACGTATTATGACGGCAATTTAACTTTTCAAAAGCGAGTTATCAATTCCATCAGGTATAATTTTGGTCGAAAAGTACATTTCTAACGAAAGAACTTAGAGTAGCTAGTGTTATGCGTGGTTTATTTAGTTAAAATAACATTTTTAAGGTCCTCGAAAATCAATTATAAAAATGCATGCTCCATGCGTAATCGTTTTCTAAAAAGTAAAGTTAGTGCATGCTGCCGAAAAGAACCTTGTTCGAAAGCTGTCATTCTAAATCGACTGAATTATAGCAGAATTAAGCTGCATTTTGACTATTTTTGCAACACCTGCTTGTAAATACTTTTGAAGCAAACAGGTTTTTTGGAATTTCTGTTGGAATTTTTAAGCGCTTGCCCACCTACTGTAGGTTGAACTGCAGCCAAATATGTGTTCCAACTTTTCGCAACACCAAAATACGCTCTTTTTTCGGAGGTCGATTCTAAAAAGCATGCAATATCAAGGAGTTTAGTCTTAAATCCTGAAGAACGATAGATGATGTACGAAGTTTAAACGAAGCACTAATTTTTTCAAATGAAGCACCCAAATGATTTCTGTTTCAATAAAAAGTAAAAGATTTTGCAGATTAATTTTCATCCTCAACGCATGGCAGTCTACAACAAGCACATCATCCTTGTATAGTCTGATGCTGCACTGGTTGCTAGCTCCCCAACATTTTCCAAAAGATCTTCTTTCCATTGATTATGCACCGAAGCCGTTTTTTTTTCTTCCAGAGAAAGGTTGTTCACATTTATATCGGTAAAATTCAACCCATTAAAATAAAAAACTTTGCCTTTCAATAAATTGCTCGAAAATAGGTAAATTATGCCGTGGGCCGTCACGTTTTTGGCAAAAAACGTCATAGAATCGACGATTCGGTCTTTGATCCCTGGCCAATGGACAGTTATAGTGCTTTCCTATAATGAAAATAAAAAGTGATCCGCTGAATTACAGCCAAAATAGAGAAGTCAATATCACATTCATCTCCTGCTGTATGCGCTAGCAAAATGAAAAAATGCCGTGTTTCTCGCTTGTCGCACCTAACTGTTGCACAACACCATAGTTTACACTGAAAATGGAATCGGGGTTTTCGTACATTATCAGTATGATATAAGAGAAAATTAAGCAGGCCATAATTTGCAAGTCCGTTATATAAAATTGAATCTGTATATCGCTTGGCAGCATTTACATATAAGTACGAATATCACCCAGAGTAGTGGCATATAGTTTTCTTACTTTGATTAAAGCATGGATGTTTATAAGGGAATAGGTAACAGTGCATGTCAATTTCACGACTCGAATGTATCGCATGTCGGCGTCGCAGAAACACCAATGTATAATTGGTTCAGATTGGGGGATCATTTGAAAATATGTATTCCTTTTCGACGTGTATTGATGTGCCGTGAAAAATGTGTTCTCCATATGCGGTCTATCCATTAGTAGGTCTTCTAAGTAAACATTCCCATTTCTTCTTGAGCAAAGTGGCCAAGCTTTATTTAAGATGAAAAAAACTCGCATTCATATAAAGTAGAATTTTCAGTATTTGAAAATTCGGACCAGGCAGAAAAGCGTATAAGCTTGAGTCTGTTGCGAACATCATGGTAAGGTGTAATAAGCTGGCGGTATGGTATGCTGAAGCATGGTGATTTTAGTAATAGCAGCGCGTAACAAGTACAGAATGCTATTAGTAATGTTCTAAAGGCAATTAAGGCAAAATGGAATTTTTATAATATGCATGTCCGTATATGTTCGCATCTTTGATATAAGCATTTTACATAAGGTTTGAATAGACGTTTAAGGGACACTAGCTTACAGGCTTATGCTCGACAAATTACAAATTTTCTCAATTAATATTCGATAATTAGATTATGCAAAGCAACGTGCAGTAACAGATCTCATTAAATAAATGCATAAAATAAAGTCTTTTGTTCGAAAATGAGAGATATTTGCACAATGGATGCACAAATGTTTATAAATTTTATATTTACTTACATTCTCGTTTGGAAAAAAACCAAAATTTAAAAAACAAGACACAAATATACAAAAAAACACAAACTACAAATAGTGCTGGAGAGTATCCGAAATATGTATTATGCAGACAACATAATTTGACAGAACCTACATGTTTGAAGGGTTGTCTTGCATGCAAAACTCAGACGAACTGACAACAGCAGATAAATCAGCAGTTCTGAGAGCATGATTCTATAAAGTATTGTTGTTTGATGAGACTCCTCTTATAGCTAGCCGGTGCTTCCAATGAAATATTTGCATGGGCGCACGAATTGTGCACGCGCCTAGGTAAATGATTCAATATTACGCGTGAACTTGCTTCGCACTTTGACCTCCTGAAACTGACTTCAAGTGTTTGCATCCTTTCCAGGATATGTATTTTAAATCACTACTGATACGTCCAATAAAAATTAATTCAAGTTATCGCTGCTAAGACAGTCAAGCATGCATTAAGCGATGTTTACCTTCACTTTATACAACTACTAACGATCAATTAGAATCGCATGCGGTTTGATATCCGACAATAAAAATAATTATAATCTTCAAAAAGTAAACAAGCATTAATAGTTCCGAATGGAGGTATGCAACTTTTATTAAGTAGCCGATATGCTGAAATAATAACTGAAATTTTAAGTTCTTTATACGATTATATAAATGATTTCTAAAAGATATTAAGATTGCTTTATTGCTCAATCCCGTGAAAATTAAAAACGTCACATAAGTTGCCTTCGAATGTATTACCTTTCTTCACTTGCAAACCCTGCGTTTATTGAAAATGCTTACTTTATATGTAGCATGCATTTACCAATTCAAATTCATCACCTACTAATAAACTGAAATATGTGTCTGATAACGCAAGATATGTATCATTCCTTGCATTCATCCACATTTTATCTAAACCTCGTTATTAAATAAAGAATCGTTCTCAGATTTCAGTAATATCGTCAATTTAAATTTCCTCGGCACATTTTAATTTTCACTCGAATAACGCAGCATGTGTGTGGTTGGTAATATTTCCAGTTCGTATAAAGCATTTTAATGATAATAAAACACATGTGCTGCATATTCGCTGAATTGTAACTTACAACACGAATTTGTAAGTGGACGTTTTTGCGCATTATTAAATCTGTATCTTCAGTTCGATTTGTAGTTTCTTTAGAAACTCATACATTGGCCGTGCAAGTGGAACCTAATGCCAGCAGGGCCTTCTATGTTGAAGTGGAGGTTAACGCTAAGTGTTGTTGTTTTATTGCAGTTAAGTTGTGAGGCGATGAAGACTGTCTTTCATAAAACAATCAATCAGTTGAAGCATATTATCTGTACAAACTCCTCTTTCAGCCGCGCATGAGGCATGCAACGAAACGCATATATATAAAGCGACTAAATTAAAGGAACTGATAAGATTGTTTGTGAAGCTTAATATTTGTTTATTGACTCGTCCGATGAACATCAACCAGTAACTTTAGCTGTTTGACGTTAATCTGGTTTATCTGTAATTATCAGGCAAAGCACCACAATATCCAGCTAAAGACGCTTTACACTATTTTAAAGTAGATGTATATATTCATGGTTGTCTAAGACTACGTTTTTCTATTGAATTGCGTTCCATGACAGTTTTATCGCATATAATTTGCATAAAAGTGATTATTTATTCGTTGTTTACTGTTGGGAAACCGAGTGCGAATAATCAGGTAATTTTTCAATTATAGAAATCAGGATTTGAACAGTAGCTCTTAGATGTTACCCATTGTCTAAGTGAACAGGTATTCTCATCAAGATTGTTAACGTGAAATAGCATATAATTTCCACCTTCGAGTTGTCACTTCATTTTTCAATCTTCGATACCTCTCGTACCTCTTGCAGAAGTAACGAGCACACCCCTATTCGACGCATCGGCAGGCGAGAACCGGCAAAGATAATTTAAAAAGTGCAGGCGAAATGTCAGATCCGGAGAAATAAAGTTGCACAGACGACGTTTTGGTCCAGCACTCTATAAAAGACAGCAGGAAATGAGAAGTACATTAAAGATCTATTCGATTTAATAGAAAGACCTTTTAGATGGCAGAAATTTCACAGGTGAACAAACGCGTGACTTTTTTGGATGCTGCTGTTTCGCGTTAGGCAGGTCGACCTATCGCTTGCAGTTAGCCCACAATCAATTCCTCTTATGGAACATCTATCTGGTCGCTCAGCTACTCACAGTCCCTGTGATCATCCGATTTACGACTGTATAATTGCCTACACGTCTGTTGTGTCCTAATCTGAGCACTAAATCGAAATAAAATTACCTTCAAAAGAACATAAGTAGTAACCAAGACTGTGAAGATGTCGGTAGATATTTTACCACAAATATCCACTGCTAAATGTTATAGTCCCCATATGGTACCCTGTTAATAGCGTAGAAAATTCTATGATTTGTATACGCGGAAAATGTACGGCTGGTATATTATAAACCCTGAATGCAACTGTGTCGGCAGTTTGGGTTCAAAATCGTTCGCGCATGTAGGCAAATAAAATGCAACACACTTTTTTGAGTTGAAATTTAAATAAACGGCAGTTATTTTATCTGCGGCATCCTCAAGTGAATACCCCGACCTAAGCGAATTAAACTGACGAATTATAAGTTGTTCGGAAACCACCCTACCAAATTAGTTTACACCTATTTGTTAGTCGAATTTAGCAGTTAATAAATTTCAACGGTTTTCAAAATCACACGAACCTATTACCTGAGTAAAATTTTGATGTAGATAACCAAAAATGTACTAAATGTCGTTCATGAGATTTTTCACAGTGAAATAAACGCCTAGTTTCTTCGCACGCTTGAATTGACAGAGCCATCCTTAATTTATTCTGTCACATTTTACGCGCACACCAACCGCCGTCCATTAGTTAATCGAATGAAGACTGATTTAATTGTAGGCTATCCGGGAAGACGGGTTGCCCCGGGAAGATGGGTTGCCCGTTAGCCTAGCTGCTGGCTACCCGGCGTGTCCACAGGTGGCGGATAGTGGGACGACCTTCAGTGAAGGTTAGCTGCGAAATAAGCAGACCCAGGTCTGACGAATAAGCAGTCGCGGACCAGCAGCGACATTGCCACCAGGGTGCGGTGGGCTGAGGACTGGCACGCTGAAAGCCTTATAAAATGTTGCAAAGTCCAATGACGGCATTGTGAAATGGCGACAGTAAACCGCCATTAAATAAGTTTACTTGCCACCGCTGCCTTGTGGTTAGGCTTTCAGGCCAAAGCGCCAGAGGAGACGACCTCGAACAAACAATCCGAGCGGCCAATGCTACGGCGTCCGCGGGAACCGACGAGCTCAACAACCCTAGTTCAGTGGTGCGGGCGAATAGTATGCGAGCTGGACTACTCAATCGTGGAAGGACTCTCGGTATTGGATGCTGGAATGTACGAACGTCCCTGGACCCTGGTACCCAAAGTCTGACCGCAAGCAGCCTTAATCAGTACAACGTGGATGTCTGCTGTCTGTCTGAGGTACGACTCCCTGATTCGGGCTCTCGTGAAATAAAGATCACGGGAGTCGAATCCCACTTCACCCTGTACCACAGCGGCCCCCGCGATTCCTCTGGTCTACACGGTGTGGCGATCGCCCTATCACAACAAGCGGAGCTGCGCTACTTGCTTGGGAACCAGTTAATGACCGGATGGCCTACGTGCGACTGGAGGGTCACTTCACGAGCATCTCCATCGTCGCTGTGTACGCACCAACTTTGGCTGCCGAACAGCGCGAAAGAGGCGTTTTGCTTTCAGTTGCAAGCGCTAGTTGAAAGACTGCCTCGCCGCGATCTGCTGATTGGTGCTGGTGATTGGAATGGTCGATCTGGACCTGGCGACCCCACAACCAGTCATCTTCTTGGCCGCTTTGGGCTTGGTTCTCGATGTGAAAATGGTGAGAGATTGCTGAACTTCGCTGATCGAAACCTACTGCTTGTCACAAACACATGCTTACAGCATCACAAAAAACATCTGCTGACCTGGTATTCAAACGAACGTCGTACGGCCAGTCAGATTGACTACATACTAGTCAGCTCAAGGTTCCGCAGTTGGGTTCACGATAGCAGATCGATGCGTGGTGCCGAGACTGGTAACGCCCATGGGTCGGACCATGTCCTCGTCCGTACACGCCTGAAAGTTCACCTCTCATCCGCACCAAAAAATGCCACGTCCTAGACGCCTCAGAACTGCCGAGGCCCTAAGCAGAGAAATCCGGACCTTGAAGAAGGAGACACGATCGCCAGGACAAGTGCTTTATTAGCCTGACGTTTCGGATTCCAACTCGAATTTATCATCAGAGACGAAAGAGCAGAATCGGGTGGTTGTTGCACAAGGAGCTGCGGTATTTAAAGGATGCGGCAGCCATGCTACCGCATACCTATGACCGTTCACGGCTTCCCCCTTCATCCCGGGGTTGGTGTGATCATTGCTTGATGGCCGACATTCGAGTCGATAATTGCTGCAATTTCATCACGTGCGTTGGATGTTGGCGTGATGATTGCTCGACCATCTGATGCGTTGACCCGGGTGTTGGGAAGAGTGTTCACCGGTGCGCTCCCCGCGTGGCCAATTACTCCGCCTAGACGAAGTCTCAGCACGCTGTATTGAATGGGAAGATCGTTGCACTTGTTGATGGACTGGGGGTCAGTAAACCATGATTCCAGTAGCTCTCGGCTCACTCGGTTGTAACCTCTTGCGATAATTTCGGCCTTAGAGAATTTAAATGTGTGGCCGGGTCTCGTCGAATGAGCCGCAACTTGAGAGCTGGCGTCATTTCTGCGCACCGCTGCCGCGTGTTCGGCCATTCTCATTCGGAGCTGTCTTCCGGTTTCTCCGACGTAGTTGCTTTGTCCGCAACTGCACCAGATCCGATAAACGACTCCAGACGTTTCTAGACGTGGCAGTGGGTCTTTCGGTTTCATGATCAGACGCCTGATGGTTGCCTCCGGTCTGTGTGCCACTCCAACCCCAAGTGGTGCGAGAAGGCGGCCGACAGCTTCCGAAACGTTCTTGACATACGGAAGTGCCCGCCAAGACTTGGTGTCCGTGCGGTTAGGCCTTTCGTCCCTTTTGCGTATGCACCGGTCGACGAAGTTGCGCGGGTAGCCATTGGCTTTGAAGACCCGTCGGAGTTATTGCAGTTCAGCAATTTTGTCTTCCGGCTCACTGCAGTGCGTTTCGACACGCCGATAGAGCGTCCTTACACAACTGCGTTTGTGGCTGATTGGGTGGTTACTGTTGAAGTTCAGTACTTGCATCGTATTTGTCGCTTTCCTGAACACTTTGGTCTTTAGTCCACCACAATCCTTGCGGCATACGAGGACATCCAGGAAGGCCAGCTGGTTGTTCTCTTCCTCCTCCATCGTAAATTGAATGTCCGGGAAGACGGCGTTGAGATGTTCCTGGAATGTCAACACCTGATCCCGTTCGATGACGACGAAGGTATCATCCACATACCCTACCCAGAATTTCGGTCTGTGGTGTTGGAAGACCAGCGACTCTAACCGTTGCAGGACCGCCTCGGCGATGAATCCCGAAATCGGCGAATCCATTGGTGTGCCCTTCACCTGTTCGTAGATTGTCCCGTCGAACGTGAAGTACGTCCTGAGACAGAGCTTCAGGAGCTGAATAATTTGGGCGTGTCCAAGACGGTTCTCCGTTTCATCGTATTTGCTTTGTAGTAGCAGTTTAATTGTCTCGATCGCCAGGTCCTGGGGAAAAGAAGTAAAAAGTGATGTAACGTCAAAAGATACCATGACTTTATTTGGATGGAAGCTTACCCCTTTGAGTTTCTCCAGGAATTGTGCTGACGAAGAGACCGTGGTGTCTGACTCAGCGGTCAGGAACTTGAGACGCCGGAACAGTCACTTCGCCAGTCCGTGCGTTGGAGTCCCTTTGAGCGACACGATGGGTCGGAGAGGAGCGCCGTCTTTGTGCACCTTAGGGAGGCCAATGATCTAGGCGTGTACGTTTCCACTTGATTTTGTACCTATGACCGCAAAGGTGGCTCATGGTCGTGAATCAAAGAATTTTTCAGCTTTGGGCGAACATCCATCGCGTAGATAATGCGGAATGTCCATGTTCTAATCAGGACAACCAGCATCTTACAATAAATTAGGCATGCCTTCAAAATCTTTCCTCCAGAACTCTTCTCGCAGACATTCGACAGCTTCGTCGGACCGCATTCGGAATACGGAATGCCATCATGCCACACTGTGGATGAAAAACGATAGGGATGCCTTAGAGCATGTGCAATATAATTCTGCCAAATTCTGCCATTACTGCTGCCGGAAATATATTAAAAAAACATTTGCTAAATAAAAATATCTGTCGATATTTATTCATCGGATTCCATAGTGCTGTTTCATTTCTCGGGCTTTTAATGACAGATAAACTCAGGTTTTGCCGTCGAAATCATCTGCACATGAATAAATACAGCCTACATGCGAGATGCTTACCCGTTTGTCGAGGTTAGACACTTCAAATAGTCGTACAGTTCCCTTTTTAGCAAGACGACTTTGAAGCCTCATGCATGCCATGACGTCCTTCTTTGCAACCTTCCCAGCATTTCCAGCTGGGTCATTAGAGTGCGTCATTTAATACTCTGGCTATCAGTAACGGTACAGGTACTATCTGGCATACATCTCTCGTAGGTCTGAAATTCGTGCAACGCCTAGATTACTGTAAGTCTGATTTTCCGGCAAAATATAATCTAGGAAGGACATATGTGATTAAGATTGCTTTTGTCGCACTTAGTTACCCTCAAGATAACATATTATAAAGGCACATTATCTCGATTAGCATATTACAGGTAGAATGTTTACGTATCGGTTCATCACACTTTTCTAAACCAACTTATTTTTATTGAACAGTATCTCCATAAAAATGAACCTTTGCAACGACCCTTAGGCAGCATGCAAAGTTATGCACACAACAGGTACCACTAAAGGGCAATTGCCAATGTACTTACTCGTAAGATTTTTATTTGGACTTCTTCGAAATGTGGTAGTGCATCACTCAGTTGAATTGATCGTGTCGATTTCATCAGATGACCTTTCAAATTGACCTGTGTTAGATCACATAAACCACATGTAAATTCGTCAAAAGGACATACTCGCAACGTTATTTCAAATTAAAAATCATCCCTAATGTTCATGCGTTTAAGTGGGTTTTAGTAGAAATGATATGTCTTCGACTTCAGAATTGGCGGTTTTTGTGTAAATTGCGGTGGTACGACCAAGCTAGACGTCAGATTCCTTTACATGGGTTTCTATTGCAGATGCCGCTGACCGATGATTCATTTTAAAAGTAATGCTTCTTACATATAGGTGGCATCACGTGTTTTATAGTTAGGTTTCGGGGAGGGGGGCTAGTACAGGAATTCATTTGCCAGATCTGATGCCTTGGCGGTACATATCCCTGTACTGGTCAAGCTTCTTCCTAAATATGTCCACGGATGAGGACATGATGACGACCACAGGCAGGGCATTTCATGCCTTTACCACTCCGTGGCTGTGGAAGGGCCTTTTTGCCTTTACTCTCGCATTTACCATAAGATGCTCCAGTGGATGACCTCTCAATCTAGCAGTGGTCGCCAGCTCAAAGGAGTCGCGGGATGCGAGGCAGCAATTATGAATCCGTAGCATTCGAAATGTTTGAATAAACCTACCACGTAGTTGTCTGTAGCACAGGGGAAAGAGGTCACGATTTGACAGTCTAGTTTCGTAAGTTAGGTTTATATGACCTCTGAAAAGCTTGGTTGCCCGTCGAGGTTTCGAGGGAGGTACGATCATTGACAAACCAAGGTCTGCAGGCCTAAATTGCAATTTCTAGCTATAGACGCAAAAATTATCCCGAAGACATTGCGAACGAACTCCCCGTCGAACATTGCAAATGCCCGCTTGATGAGGTATAAGCTGGATAATGCGGATTTCCCTATATTCAAGCAGTAAAATTATGGCTTTGTTGAACATGTTATCCACATATTAAGATACTTCAGAACCTTTACCAGTGGCAGCGTTGTGGGATTTAGATAGTACGTCTTCTAGTGCGCAGAGCTGGTTCTGCCAATTCTCAGAATGTTACATTTGATACTATTTAAATGGAAGGAGCCTGTGGCCTGACCATGGTTTGAGTCGGCCTAAGTTTGCCTGTACATTTGCTGCATCGCCCTCGTTGCGGATGACGGTCCAAAGCTTTATATCTTCGGCAACCATGACAATGTCGCAGTCCAACCAATGGATGCAGTCATAAATATAGGTGAGGAAAAGGATGGGGCCAAAAACGATGCCCTGATGTAGCCCGCTCGTAACCGTCACCTCTGCCGATTGTTAACACCAAGACGGACAGTCTGAGACCAACCGATACACTGCAAAAGCTTGCCTGTTAGCCGTATTTGGCTGAGCTTGTATAGGAGTCGTTCGTGTGGCACGTCGTCGAAGGCCTTTTTGAAGTCTATATAGGCTACAGGCACTACCTATCCCTCATCGATCGTTGAAGTCCACTGTTCAAGACAGAAGAGTAGGTTGGTTTTGCAGGACCTTCCTCGGCGGAACCATGCTGTGCATCAGATAGAAGATGATGTTGCTCTAAAAACTGCATTAGCTCGCGTTGGATAAGTCACTCCATTGGGTTAGATCGAGATCGCTTCTATTTCCTCTACTGGACTGCTGTCTTACTGAGGGTCGTTTCTTGGTGGGTGGTAGACCGTCAGGATCTCAAAAGCCTGTAATCCCGGCGTTTTGATGGTGAGCTGAATTGTGCCAGTTGTGCACGCAAATTGTCACTCTTTTTTCTGACGCAAAATAAACATATTTAACATATATGAGTACGTCCCCATCTTAAAGTCCCAATCTGTTCCTTCTGAACAAATGATAACGGGATAAAGCGACTTTGCTATCGTCTACGGTCGCGGAAAGCCACCTTTCAGTTATGGAAAATACATCGGGCAAAGTTTGGTTCGTGTAGATCTTAAGCTCATCTTATTTATATAGCAGCTTCTGCGCATTGGAATATAAGCATTTTAGCTTTTCTGCATTTGGTAAGCCGGCTATGTCGCCGCGTTTGTCATTTGCCTCAGATGTGCCGACATACGCACGGTCCGTGTCCATATTAACCGGGATGGCCGCTCTATTAAACAGTTGCTGTAGATAACCAGGCTTTGTTTGCCACTCTGTTCACGCAGCCTTAGCGCCTGGACAAACTCTCGGCGTTTTAACTGCTCCGGTGGTGTGTAATCCGGCTGAAAAAACTCCTTTGTGAAAATAGTTTAACTTAAAACGTCTTGAGAGTATGAGATCAACATGCTCTTTGCAACTCAGAGCAATTTTAAGGGGTCTGGGATGCGGTGGAAAAGCGCGCTCAAAAGTGCGGTTCCCCACTCTGAAGGTTTTTAGCACGAAAGCTTCTTCGTTGGGTTAAAGCATTGTATTTAGAAGGTCTTACAACATGTCGAGATCAGCTAGTACGCGTTCTTTAGGTGTGTCTGCGTTTGCCTTCTGAACTCCCTGTATTACTGGACACTGTGCTATAATTGGCCGATCTTTTTGCCTGGTGTTGGTGATTTTAGAGTTCCTGGCAAACTATTCATGACGATATTCTGATTGCCATCCACTCTATGGACCTTCTCTTGAATTAATGGTATCGTGTTTTTGGCAATACTGCTCCTGTATTGTATGTCAGTAAAGAGGATATTCGCATTTGTCGCGTTTGTGTCTACGCCGGCGCTGGAGGTTTCTGTCGATTGCTCAGACGAGCTCTGCTTTTCAAGAAAGTTTTTTCTTCGAGTACTTCGTAGTCGCCCTATTTCTGTCGCTCCCTTTTCAGTCATCAGTCCGATTTGACTTAACTTCTTCTCTTAATGTGACAGTAGTGTTATGTGAACGATCTGAGTCTTTTTATTTATCGCCTGTCTCTCCGCGGTGTCATTGCGGGGGGCCGTGGTAGTCCACTTCGGAGGCGGATTAATATAAAGCCTTCTTATTTTCTCCGCGATTCCCTCTGATGAGTGTGCACTGTCTTTATACCTTCCCAAATTATTTTGTGATTTTGGAGTGCCGTTTACTACTGTTGTTGGTGAGCGTGAGGTATTATGTGCATTTTGTCGTTTATCTCTTCTCCAAGCACTTTTTATTTCTGCAGCCAGCGATCTCCTTAAACGGTAATCCTTCTATTAGTGAGCTGCTGTTATTCAACTCTGTCAGTTTCGAAAATACCTGTTGGCTGGTGCAGAATTCATCGATTGGCTTAAAGTCATCATACCTTAGTAACAATGCAATGTGATCTATGAAGAGGTCCATATTCGTATTCAACGAGGTAACATTCAATGCGAGATCTCGACAATATTTACATCGCGCATAACGGTTTTAATTTTCAATATCTGGTAGAAAATCCTGTGTAATCGTGGCGAATTTTCGCTGATAATTTTTGTTACGGGGCACCTCAGTCCTACTTTGAGCCACTTCTGGCGTATTGCTTTTATTAGATCCACTCTGTGCGATGTGAATCGGCGCTGGTTCATGTGCACTTGTTAGTGAACTATTTTCATGGCTAAGTCCGACTTATCCTTGAACTATGCGGCTAATACAATTAATAATATTTGAGGTACGCCAGCGGCGTCGATTGCCGACGCGTTTAGGCGCTCGCCACATGAGGCCAGGGTTGGGGGATCAACTCCCACTCCTCGCGCCCTATTTTCATTCCGCGGGACTCGTGGATCGTAAACTTCTACATTTCCCATGTCTTTATGCGCTAGTGTCGAGAATAAAATATTATACAAGATAATAGCTGTCGGAGAAAGACGCAGTCAAGAGAAGGTCTGACGGATTAAGCTGAAACGCGACGAACTTAATATGGAAATGGGAGCATGGCGTACCAAAGAAGTTGATAATCCGTAAATACCAAATAGTAAAACTACATACTGCTGCCTTTCGGATAAAGCCAACCCAAATGACCGCACAGATAGTCCAGTTGCCCGTTTCGGGGTTGTTAACTGGTCTGTCATTGGTTCCGATCTCGCATTCATGTATACAAACGCGAAAAGTGTACTTTTAAATGTTGGTGATCTCCGATTCCGTATCAATGGCCTCTACTTATACTTTAACTCATTAACAAAAACAAGGTTATCCGAACAGGTTAATGATCGGGAGCTTATACATCTTACATTTTAACTGTTTCGCAGAGACAGTGAAAAGAGAAGGGTTGGAAGTCTAACAACATTTGTAAGAAAGGCTTGTATGTTTGAAAAAAGTGTTGAGCCGGCTTATAATATTAAGGCATTATGGGTGGTTACCAGAACACCGAACTCTCAGGGCCTCGATAGTTTGACGGTGCAATATTCGCCGAGAACTCAATGTGAAGCTGGTGCACAAATGCGGAATGAGCGGTTAAATAAACTCATTTTGGTGACTTTAATGTTTTTTTATATCGAATAGAGCTCCACCTCGTCGACTGCTCTAAAACGGCATTCTTCCTCCAGCTACTCCATACCAACGGCAATCTACTTCTTACCCAACACGTGAAATTTCCTGGCGTCGTGTTCATTAAGTCATCTGATAACATCAATGTTGTGAATTACCCCCCTCCCCCCGTTTGGTAGGAGTCACAAGGCAGTTCACATGTGAAAGTAAACCTTATTCTCCCTGTTTGCGCAACGGCTTTATTTTAATTCCCGACGCGTTGATTTCAAACTGATAGAAAGAAATATTTGTCCTATTTATTGAGCATCCACAATCTCCGACGACATCGAGGAAGCTTGGCGTCAGTTAAACGAGCCAGTCCCTAGACTTATCTCTAGCCACTGCCTAATCCTACAAAGACGACCAACGAATAGAACCCACTGGTTGACTCCATCCTAAAAAAGAAGTTACCAAGATGAGGAAACTTTACAAAAGATGCTTTCTTGACCAGATGCCTGAATCCTTAGAGCGTTATAAGTTACGGAGATACCGGGTCAACATTTCCATCGTGAGAGATCGGTAGGTATGGAAAAAGGATCTTTTGAACAGTGTACTAGTTAATCCCAAAGTCCAGTGCAGTTATATAAGGCAGAGTACACGACACAAAAACTCAACCCCACTGTTGCGAACGGCCGAGATTGCAGAAATTTTAGATGACATGAATAAGACTGAACATCTTTCTGAGGCTTTTCAGACGGTCGTAACGAATGAACCCGAAATTTTCCAAGCGATTTGAAGGCGGAGAAACGCCTTCCATTGAACTAGTCCTCTTTGTCTAGGCAATCATCCGAAAACAGTTAATAAACCTAGAGGAATCAACGTTTTGAGGCCCACATGCGATCTTGATCAATCTGCTGAAGGGGCCTGCTACAGAATTAGCCAGAGCGCTAACCTTTCTCTCCAAACGTCATTAGATATTGGATGCCTACCCTCTGATTGGTAGTCCACTACCATCGCTCCGCTTGTTAAGCCTGAAAGTCGTGGACTAGCGATTGACTACATGCCAGCGAGCCCTACTGTCATTTATTGCAAAATTTCGGAAAAATCACTGAGAAGGCGTTAATGAAGTTCCTCTAGTAGCATCGCTTCTTTTCCGATGCCTAGTACGACTTTTGAAGTGGTAGGTTTTGTCGTATGAATCCGCTCTTTTCACTCGAATGCTCTGCCAAAGCACGCAAAAAAGGCAATCCGGTGCAGGCCATCTTCACCGACTATAATAAAAGCCTTTGGCAGCGTTTCTCATCATCGTCTTTTGCTAAAACTGCTCAACGCGGGAATCCGTAAAATCCCGTTTGTATGGATCCAGACTTTTTGTCTGGGCGGTCCCAAATAGTGCAGTTCTGGCTCCAGCAGTATCCAGAGGTAAACGCAGTGGGTGGCGTCCCACAGGTCTTAGACTTCACGTTATTAGATGTTTCCGCAGATGACTGCGTCAGGGACCTAAATTGTGATGTCATCATGTTTGCTTACGACATAAGATTGTGGGAATTATTCGCGTTGCAGCCAACGGAGACCACCCTTCAACAAACTTAAATAGGCATGAAGACGTGTCAAAGCGCTGACTTATGCCTTCAATATAAGCAAGTGCAAATCTTTTCAACTCAACATCGGCAGTACCTCCAGGGTCAGGACTTGCTTACTTCCCGGTACGTCAGTGCAACAAGTTAGCATTCAGAGGGAATTGAATGTGTTGGTTACATCCTCACTCAAACCATCATCGAAATGGTTCAAGGCGTCCACACTGCAAGTCATTTGTCGAGTGTTTATTGGTGTGGACGAAGACAGATTTTGAAAATGTTTGATAGCCTTATGTGGACAGATTTGGAATACGCAATACAGGCATGGAGACATTGGGTTGTCGAGGACTATACCCTCATAGAGAAGGTCCAGAGGCAAGCATCAAACAAAACTAAAGGTCTGGGGGTATTTCCTATGAAACTAGACTGTCAACTTCCAACCTGCTTCCTTTCCCCACAGAAAACTACGCGGTGATCCCATAATAAACCTACTAACTGGCACACTTTGCGCGGTCATACATTAAAACCGCGCGTTAGGAAAGCAAGGATAAAGGACGACATTTTTTAAGTAACAGTTTGGTAACAATATTGAACGGCCTGCTTACTGATGTCTTACTCTGATCATGTGTGGATGTATTTAAGTATAGACTCGACGTGTATCGGGCTTCCTAATTACTAGCCTCGCACATACTCAAATAACTCAACCTTTATTGTACAATTCCATATTACTAACATAAGGTGGGTTGCTTTATATGTTCATTCGTTATAAATAACAGCCATGGCCTGCTTTTCGCATGTACACAATATCTCCTTCTCTATCAACTTTCTGCTTATTTGTTCTTTTCTCAGACCATTTGCAACTAATAGGAAATCTAAAGGCGGTAGCCTATATTTTAATAAAACTAAACTGAAATCATTTGTTCTCAAAAATAAATGAATAAATCGCACATAGATGTTCGCCCTCACTTCTCTGAGTTAACACTATCTACGCGCTATAAGGGGGTTCGTGGACGACAGCTGCGCATTCATAGTGAGCATCTGCGAAGGGCAGAACCATATTTCTGCGATAAATGTTCATCGATTCTCAAATCCTAGGTACAAAATGCATGTAACTCTATGCACCTGCATGTCCCACGCATACTAATCCGATAGTCCGAATAACATAAACGTGTTATACATGCTTTCGAGCTTGTGAGGAAGTATTGCCTGGAGACCTGTAAGTAAAAACACCTACTCTTTGGATTTCAGTAAGCATGCTGTATTGAAATCACGTGTCTCGCAGAGCTTGAGGAAACGAGTTGAAGTGTTGTTGGAGACTAAGCTTCAGGTAAGTGTTAGATTAAGTTGCAGGCCGACGTACCGCATACAACCTAATTTCTTCTGACGTATTTAACCAATATCCGCTGTTGCCTCCTTTCTGCTCTTTTACAGGTCAGTAATCCGCATCTTTCAAATTTCATTGTCTTTTCAGATACCTAATTGAAGTAATTAAACAATCGTGTTGCAGGTATGAGATTTTTCTAAACGTCTTCGCAGTTTCCCTTGGCTGTGATATATTTCTATTTCGATGGTAAAACGAATGTAAACACCATTGCTGTATTCGATGAGTCCCTGTGCTGTACATTTTCAGCTGGCTTACGTATTCAATCCCTGTTGGAATATAACCGGGGATATTTTGTTGAAACATATTTTGCATTGTTTTTTAAAGTAGAAACCTAATCATTTTTAGGGATGGCGTTCATTTTCTAATTACGAGTTGGTCGCCAGGGGTTTTATCTTACACTAATCGATAACTTAGAACTTCAAAAAACGAATACGTTAGATGACGCAAAGGATATTTGTTTAACCGTTCCATTTTGTCGAAGCTGATAGAAGAAGCGTGCTTATTAGGTGTTTGGGTTTTCAGGAAAGGCTGCATTCGAGAAGGCAGTTTTTTAAAAGTATAAGAAAACAAGTTTCATGAGTTTCATGACTTCCAACAAATCTTTGGCCATCAAGTGAGTCCTGCTCAACCCCCTTGCCCAATTGTAGATTTCTGTCGTAATTCAATGGGTTGGCGTTTACCGTCATGCCATTACCAAGCTCTTAATGTTTGTACTGCTTACCAGTTCGCTGGGGGTCAGCTCTACGCCCACATTGTTTCAGTTTTGTGATTCACAATCAACTGAGATGTTTGGAGCTTCAAACAGGACACAGGACGGATTCATTCCTAGCGGCATTAGCTGAACAACATGCAGGCGGATGATATCATAGTAAAATTGCGAGCAATTTTTTCACGCGGGATGACCGTGATTACGAGTCCTCAAGTGGATTTTGGCTGCAAATGTAAGCTATTACTCAAGTTTTAAGAGGGTGCTCGAACCTACGCAGTGCTATGCGGCTATACAACAAAGGCAGAAACAAGTTGAGCAAGCAACATCAACACGATTAATAGATGTTAGGGCTTGTCGACATGCTGAATGACTGAGCGTTAACTTTTGATGCGCTAAAAGTGCTCATTTAAGTCTGACACCTTCTGGTATTTGGCAGTCGTCTGCTCGCCGTTTCTGTCAAACTAGCAACAGCGGCACTCTACGGCTTATATTCTGACTATATTTTCTAAGTTTGATCTTGCGAATGCCAGTTACACGTTCACCAAAAGGTTTCATTTGAACAACAATATATTAGAAAGACTTGAAAGAAGGAGTTTCCACTGCTGAGTATGAGGCCGCGTCGGAGTGAACGACTATAAGCGTTATGAGAATCATTGTTGAGGCAGATAAGTCAATGCCTAGGTTCTTTAATCGTGACAGTTATGTGGGTTTTTTGAAAACTTCAGGTGTTGAACCAGTAGAAAGAATACATCGTCTGAATGCAATCTTAGAAACTAAACCAAACCCAGCATAAGCTACAGACTAAGGTACACTTGTATAACTCTTCACTGATTTGCGTTCCGCTTAAACCTGATGCCTGTACAGGGGCCGCATTTGTCTCCATAAAAGCCCCTTACTATGGATAGGGAAAACGTATGCGAAGTACTTAAGTAGTACGCATATCTGTCCTTGTTTAAGGCCCCGATGTGGCACTTTTAGGCGTGCAGGGAGGCACTAAGCTGCCTGCTTTATTCGAGGACTGCTTTCTGATCCTCCTGTGAACTAATTATCCTTTTGACACTTTCAGCTATACTAAAGAACAGATCGACGTGTAAATTAACCAGTAAGTATCCTTAGCTGAGTGATTATAGTGACATGTAATCATATGGATTTCGTTGGTAAAGCGTGCGGTATGAATCAGATTTCTTCTACCAACTCTCATAGTTTAAAACCTGTTGCAATTTCTCAAGAGTAAAATTGGACACGATTTCAACTAAAGGTCCTGGTGTGCATATAATGTAATGATTACGTTTAGAAAAACCGGTAATATGATGATTGGTTGAATTCATTGAAGAATACTGGGGCTGAAGTATGTCCGAGGAATCTACCATATTTTCACGGCTCCATGTAAAAACAAGTGAAATTTTCAATTTAAAATACCACGAAACATTTTTCAGTCAGTATTTAATAAGGTTTCCATGACGTAAATGCCCCCCAAACAATAGAAATAGGTATGTACACTTATCATTGTCCCGTTTTACTAGCATCAACCACATCGCGTTGTGTCTAAGAGCGACACTAATGTATCTCATAAGTCTGCTAAGGAAATCGATTGATTATGTATCAAGTTCCTAACCGCTGAGTCAGATACCACGGTCTGTTCTTCAGCACAATATCTGGAGAAGCTCAAAGGTGTAAGCCACCATCCAAATGAGGTCATAATATCCTTTGATATCACGTCCATTTTCCCTTTTATTCTCCAGGATCTGGCGGTAGAGCTGCGTCTAAAAAGTAAATAGGATGAAAGGCGAATCGTTTTGGACACGCCAAAGTCCTACAGCTCCTAAAACGCTGTCAAAGGACTCAATTCCCGTTCGACAGGACAGTCTGCGAACAGGTGGACGGCACACAATGGGTTCGCCGAGTTTGCGACAAATCGCCGAGGCGGTCCTTCGATGGTTAGAGTCGCTGGTCTTCCAATACCACAGACCGAAAGTCTGGGCTCGGTATGTGGATGATATCCTTGTAATCATCGAACGGTATCAACTGCTGACATTCAAGGAACGTCTGAATGCGGTCTTCCCGGACATACAATTTAGGATGAAGGAGGAAGAGAACCATCAGCTGGCCTTTATGGATGTCCTCGTATGCCGGAAGAATTGTGGTGGACTAAAGGCCAAATTCTTCAGGAAAGCGACAAATACGATGAAAGTACTGAAATTCAATGACAACCACTCAATGAGCCACAAGCTTAATTATTAAGCGACACTTTATCGGCCTATCGAAACGCACTGCAGTGAGCCAAAAGCAAGATTGCCTATGTATAATAACTCCGACGGGGCTTCAGGGCCAATGGTTACACCTGCAACTTCGTCAACGGGTGGATACACAAAAAGAGACAAAAGGTCAAATCAACTACGTCGGAGAAACCAGAAGACAGTTCAGAACGCGCTTGGCCGAACCCGCTGAATCCGTGCGGATAAATGACGACAGCGCTGGAATCGTGGTTGATTCCATGAAATCCAGCCACATATTCAAATTCCACGAGACCGAAATTTCCGCCAGAGGTTAGAACCGCGTGAGTCGGATGCTGACTGAATCGTGGTTTACTGACCCCTAGTCCCTTAACAAGTGCAGCGAACTTCGCCTGCCATACTCAGTGCTGAGACCTCGCCTAGGTCGTGTAAGTAGTAACGCGAGGAGCACACAGGTGAACACTGCTTCCAACACCAGGGTCGGTAAGTCAGACTGTAGGGCAATCATCGCACCAACATCCAACACGTGTGATGAAATTGCAACAATTAACGACTTGAAAGTCGGCCGTTTAACAGTCATCACACCGAGTGCTTCGATTTCTGATGAAGGGAGAGGGGGGGGAGAATCGTAAATATTCATAGGTATGCGGTAGCATGGTGACTGCATCCTATAAATTTCTGCTGCTCCTTTTGCATGAACCACCCGTATGTGTTGTTTCTGTTGATTGGTTTGAGCAGGAATCCCAAATGTCCGGCAAACAATGTACCTGTGCCACCGATCTTGTCTCCTTCCTTACGACTGCATCCTAGGACTCATCTCTTCGTTTCCAACGGCGATGGAGTACAGCGTTACCCTCTGGAGGATTTTTGATGTTGAAAAAAAAGGCATGTCGTCTAATTGTTTTTTTGCTTTTCAGGACTATTTCATTTGTCTCCTTTAAGAGTCTTCTTGCATCATAAATTTTTAAATTAATGTTTAACCGCACTAACCATTCGTAGACGTTTCCTAGTTTGGTAGGAACATAGGGGAAATTTACTGCAAAACAAAGTTTGCTTTTGCAGTATTTGGTATCTTGGTTATAGGGCTAGCGTTTTAAGCGTCAATCAGGAATTTTGGTGTGCACTACCCACAGTCAAGTGGCATGATTCTGGTTATGATATTTTCTAAATTTTTTAAGATGCTAGACATGCAGATATGTCTGATGAAGTCTTATTTATTTATTAATTGTTCATTTGCATTTATTTCACCGATAAGACAAGGTAAAGATAGTTTTAATGTGGCCTTATAGAAAATGACGTGGAATTTTTTGTCTTTCTTGTTGAATGTCACAAAAAAAAATAATCCTAAATTTCAGTAAGACACTTACTAACTTAACGTCTAGTTTTACCATATGTGTTTGGCTGTTCGTCATATTTAAGGGCTAATTTAAAAATAAACTGAACGTTTTATTTCCTGTTTTGTCATATGTGAAGTTTTCTTTCGGTAATGCAATTAACGGCATATGACATGTTATCATAAAAATTTATGGGTGCGCGCGGGAATGTTGTCTTCCATATTTGACGTGCTTAGGTTAAGGATGAGGATTAGGGTTAGGGATGGTATTAAGGATTGGATAGGGTTATGAGAGGTGGTACATGGCTAATTGTTGAAGTTAAACCTGGTGTTAGGGGACAGGAGTAACCCACACTGTGGAATTTAACGTCACAACACATGTTGCACTGAAATGAACATTCCTCCCACCGACATAAAAAATGCAATTTTTTGTCTGATTTTCACAAAAAGTTTACTCTAATAGTTATATAGTGCAGCATTCTGATGAGAATTCAAAACCTATACGAATTATATGCAGTTTTACTTTAGGAGAACTAGGTCGAGAATACGCCTGCAAATCGGTAGAAGACGTAATTCACCACCAAATAAGCAAGATAATAAATATTTTTATGCATGTTTTCCATGAAATTTACATCGAAAATCAATGATAAACATGTATGCCACATAAGGAGTCATTTTGCGACCATACATGAAGCATGCGGCCAGAAATACGTCCGTTCTAAAGTCGGCATTCTAGAATAACTGAATAACTATGCAATTATGCTGCACGATAATTACTTTAAAAACCCCCCTTTTCGTAACGAAAATGCATTTCGGAATTTTGCTTGACATTTCATGGGTTAACCCACCTAGCGTAAGAATTGTGCCTATCACTGGCAGACAAGCAGTTTACATTAAAAAAGCCAAGTTCAGCTTTTGATGTTTCACGCCATGGCGCCTCAGAATTCACAAGTTAATTTTAATCCGTGGACATTCCAGAAGTTAAGCGCCCTCGTAGACGAGTTCTATGAAGGTAGTCGTTAAAAATGAGAGAAAATCGAAGGAACAAGAGCTTAGTTGATTTCCAACGTTTCGGTATAACACCTGAACCCGCTATTAGAAACAATACCAAATACGTGTATTTCATGAACATTGTGCTGCAGTTTTTATGGAAAGCCTTCGCTATTTTGCCAAGTACTTATTAACATTCACGGCTCCCCTATCACGGAGCTCTGCACTTGGTGGGATGCCTGTCCGACAATCCTCATTCGAGTTTACAGCTGTTACAATTTCATCACGAATGTTTTATGTTGGTGTGATGACTGCCGAGACATCAGCCAACCATTCGTGATCGTCTTTGCCCTCCCCTCTTAGCTTATTACGGCGTCTAAACTAAGCCTAGCCACCGAATATGAAAGGCGGAGTTCATTGAATTGTTCATATACTGGTGCCCAGTGAATCATAATCAAAGTAATTCGCGGATTACGTGATTATCACCTCTAGCAGGGATTGCGGCCTGATAAAGATGTTGCAACGACATGAATTAGCAGCGTGTCTGAAGATACCGCCAATTGTCTTTTAAAGAGGACATGCACTTTGCCAAGAAAATACGCCTAGTGAATTAAAGCTATTTGCAAACTCAACCGATCCGATAGCGACGAAAGCATGTTCGATAGGAATATTGCACCTTATCACCGCCTGTGTATATGGATTTTTTTCTGTCATTACCAATCGGCGATGAAAGTTGCAGAATTTTACTTTTCTCTCGGAATTTTTTGGATTCGTCACATTCCATGAATAAGCATAATTAACCAAAATGTTTTTTATGCCAAATATAATAAGAGTGAATGACACCACTTCCAAGTTTTATTAATAACTGATTGTAGATCGCACAATCACACCTTGGTGTAATATCGAACGGAGACCAGTTCGTCCACGCGTGTGGTCTAAAATACAAAATGTTTTTTAAACACCGATTTTATCGTGATAATATTGGTATGTTTGGCTAAAAGGGGAAACATTCTTTATCACGAAAAACTGGGCTACAGACGATCATTCAGTTTTAATGCATAATGCCCATATTGGCGAAAAACGTGGCAAAAACGTCGCAGTTAACTGGCCTCGCCACCGCTTACGCATCATGCTCCTTCATTTATTTTTCATAACGGATTTGAACGATGATTTTAAAATAGAAAAGGCATATCTTGAGAACGAAGCCAGCCCCCAAAGGCCAGTCTTTTCTGGATTTTGCCGTTTTGGGATTAGAGGATATTCATGGGACCAAACTTTGTTCGAACCTATCTACTTGGTCAGTGCGTGCGAAATTTCTTAATGGCTAATAAATGCTTTTCACGGAACATAGGTTAAAAAGCAGGATTGTGAGCTGAACAGGTCATGCTTGTCTTACGCCCACCGTTCACTCGGCTGGCCAGAAGGCAAGACTCAGTTATTCAGTAAAACAGTTTTCTGTCGTTTCGCATGTCAAGCCAAGATTCCTCATCCTTCAACCTGCCCGTTTATTGTCAAACGACCGTCTTAAGCCTTATATCACCCTCTAATGCCCTGTTTATGTCTTCAACCAAGTCTACCGCACGCAAATATAGTTGTTTTTTATTTGAATTTGCCTAATGCTTTCCGGAGTAAATTTCTTAGCAAAATACTAAACTTGCAGGCGCATAAAATGTGCATGGTATCAGGCTGTCGTAACGCCTTTCAGACTTCGAAGTCTAAAGGGCTTGAAACAGCTCCATTTTCCGAGGGATCGAAACTGCTGGCCACGTCATGTATGGTACTAGTTCGTAATGCCCTGTAGATGGTTCTACAAAGCCGGTCACCGTCAGAGTGAAACGATTACTCTAACAGAAGATGAGCTCAGTCAACTTACGTCTGAGAGGTTCTTGGCAGTTCATGGGAGTTTAAGTTATGATGTTAGTTTTCCTTGAAATACAGTAGTTGTGCTAACTCATGAAATGTCAACCAAAATTTCGAAATGCGTTCTCGTTTCGAAAAGATAAATTAAGTAGTGTTGTAAAACTAAGTATGATGCAGCATAAATCTATCATGATCCAGTTACCTCAGGGTTTCGGCTTTCGAAAGAACTTATTTTCGGTTGCATGCAAGATCTATACTTTGCAAAAAATGACTACTTAAGTAGCATGCAATTTTTTCATTGATTTTCGATGCCCTTGAAAATTCAATTATATTTCATGGAAAACATGCATGAAAATATTCATTCTTTTACTTATTCGGTAGAAAATCACGTCTTCTTCCACTTTTATACTCACAAGAAGAGTATAATTCGGTTTTAAAAAAGTTTCTAATTGTGAGACTTTTTAATACCGTTAAATGGCCGTTCATGAAACGTCATGTATCTGCATTTACGAATGTGGCTTGTAAAGTTAACAATATGGCTCAAATCGACTGCTTAATTTTATGAACCTTATATGGTCTCTTTTTAACACCGTAGAGAAATGCATGCAATAAGGTATAAGTGCGCATCTAACGCCAACATCTATTATTTAAAATGTCATTTCGTCCGACTTGTGTATGTGACAGTTTAAAGATAAAGAGGGGCGAATATAGTAACTCACCAATTTTATGGTATTTCCCTCAACCACGCGGTCGATGTAAGTTATCTTCTCACCGGTGTCCACTTGTTTCAGGGTGTCTCCTTCCAGTGTAAATATTGACTGCAAAATGTAAAAAAGCACCACGATAAATTGATGTATTTTTCTGTAGTCTGCAAACGGAGCTTATAAGTCTTTGCATGAAAACCTAATTCAACGTAAATTCAAAGGGATTTTTTGCCAAATGAATCGAAGGATCTGATTTTCTTATTTAAGGTCAAACGAGTAGGTAGGGGAAAAACAACAGTTTGGCACGGCCAAATCATAATTGCAAACAAAATAGACATGCCTTTGTAAGAAACGTTTGGCTGTCTGCATTGGTAGAGAAGACGCACTTTCATAATTTCGAGAAATTGACATAAACAGTGATCCAACCCTCGTTGGGCCAAACTTTATTTAATGATGAAAGTATGGGAACATAGATGCATGTGGAAGGGGCGAATCCGCCATTGCCACATTTTCTGAAAAAGTGGCTATCTTTGACTACATATATGGTTTAAAAACCAAACGCCGCATATAAAATGCATTAAATATAGTTCACTTAAACGCACAATAGTTATGAGCTCCTTCATGAACATTTTTATACTGGAGATATATCTTCTCTATAAAATACACCGAGACTAAATAATGCGATGTTAATCTGACATATTCATCGGCAGTCTATATGGCCGCAGCTTCTTATTAGAATTTTTCATAGTTCACGAACATACGGGTGACTTCCGTGTCTACTGTGTCAGGCTCTTGACAGTAATTCAACAAATGACGTCTAGGAAAACCATTACCATCCCTTTTCCTGACATCGCTTAATAATGTGGCTGTTAGCAGCATATTTGTAATCGTATCAAATACTAATCATAACCAACGCGTATATTATTTGAGGATAACATTGCAACCGGAATCAACCATATCATCATTTTGAAGAAAAGTATAGGTCAGTATATTTTAATGGTAATAGGCAATGCCTTTGTAAACCCTATATTATGATTTGCTTTCCCGTGGCCTTACCTTGACGTGTCTTCCATCCATCGTAGTCAGATCAAACTCTTCTCCAAGTTTGAAGGAGAACTCATGAGTCTTAAAGGTGGTGCTCATTTTGAGACTGTAGCCGTCGCCGTCGCGTGCGATTGTCATTACCGGATGCAGAGTCTTGGTCGCCGTCCTGTGCGCTAGACTGAAGCCAAGGCGCTCTGTAATTGCATCAAAGCCTTCACTCTTGCTAAGTTTCCAACTGCCAAGAAATTTTTCCATCTCGAGGGGGCCTCAGTAGAGAGAAGGCACAGGGCGGTTTCCGGCTTCATTACCGCAAGACGCCGAATATATTACATCTTAATCTGACCTTGACTCAGAATCCGTCATGCCGAATGACCGTGATTTACATCAGGCAAGACCCTGCCAGACTGACAGTTGACGGTAAGTGGCACTTGGGTAGGAACGCTGAACGTGAACACACACTCACACACACTCAAGCTCTCCTACTCAAACTTGACCTTCAAAGTGCACAGAAGTGTTGGTCACTTGGCGATGCGGGACTGTCAGCGACTTTCAGCAACACCCTGTGCTGCGCTGCACTGAGGGTTGAAATTATACGCTTACAGCAAACAACATAGAATGACATACGGAGATACGACTGCTCATTCAAGGAAATACTAGGTATCGATTCATTAGCAGGAATTAATAGATCGCATTATTTTTCTACTCTGTCTGGCAGACAAATAATGGATTTGGTAAATTACACTTACATTCACATTCACAATGTTTTACATGAAGTTACACGTGTTTTCGACGGTATACTGCTCATTCGTTACTTTCAATATGTTAATTCGGGTAGGGCAATGCAGAGCATGTCAATGATGGCTGTCAAACAGGGCTCGTAAAAGATCACCGGAACTGCAAATTTATTTGGATTTGGACAGCCAGTGAACTCTTTGAATTGACGCATATGTTGCCTTCAAAAGCCTTTACTAAATAATCTGATTTAAACTATTCACCGTTTCATTTCATTGCATATACTGACTTCCAACAGGGGCACGCTTGGGGAGGCAGAATTGTTGGGCCGGCCTCTTGCCCGCTGACATAGAAAATCGGTGGAGCACATGTTCGGACCTTTTCGAATTACGCATATATGTATACATTATGTCAAAGTACTCGTTTAAGATTTAGGCCTAAAATACAGGGATTCGCATTACGAACGTATGGATTGCCCGGGGAGGTGAATTTGATTAAATATAACGGCAGTATGCATTTAAACGAAACACACAAATATTACGCCCCTAATCAATTTAATTCAAAAGAAATATTTTATGAAAGTATTATTACTAGTATGACCGGAATCTAAGGCCCACTACTTTTAAAAGCAATCTGTGTCTTTTACAAACGAAAGGCATACAGGCACTTAGCAAATTACTTAAATAAGCTGAACTACACGGCTGACCTCCTTTTCAGCACTTTGCTGCGATTAAGTTGCAAGAAACCTGCATTTGCAATTATACATATTTGGATATAACCATCTCCTCATCACCATATGACGTACCTTTTATTTTGTATGAGGCGCTTTCCAGCTGATGTCAACCGTCAGCATTAATTTATGATGCAAATTAGCAGCAATAGTGGACTTTGTATAAAAGGAAGGTTGCAAACCATATTTATTGGGTGTAGGACGCCCAAAGCAATTTGAGTTATTTGGAAGTGTCCATAAGCAAGTGGATATCTAAGAAAACAAATGAAAAGCCATAGTCTGAATTGAGAACGTAAAAGGCTTTGTGAATATTCCCATACTGAACTTAAAACGTCATTCGGCAACAAATGCTTTCGGTCAATCATCTTCAGCCCAATTTAGTCAAAAAGAAACTGAAAACATGAGATATTCACGTGGTTTACAAGTGACTCAGGGAGGATTAAGTTTCACCGTTTCCACTCCACTCGCGTGACGGGGTCGGCGTTATCAGCATTGGGGCAGGGGGCGGGTGTGAGGGTAGTTGAAGTGGGGTCTGAGTAATGTTTGTAAGTCATCTGCGTGAAGTACACATCCCTGTCCTCAGAGGAGTTGGGTCTGCCTGCAATAACCACCTGGGGTCAAACTTGGCTACGGAAGACAGAGGGCCTGTGTTAACGTCCTCTCAAAATCGAGCACTGGATTCGCTACCCGTATTGTCAGTGCAATGGCTGTAACTATTACCTCAGGGTACGTTGGACGGCGTTAACTAAAGCATCTGAAAGACTTCTTCGGTGCGGTCCCAATGATCCGTGTCGAGAGGATGTGCGAAACCTAAACTCGAAGTGGATTTGTTTTCACCTCTGTCTAACCAGGATGATTTTTTTTACGCACTCCCATTTCCATGCATCTCATTGTCTGGCCGATATGTCCCGCTACAGAAAATTAAGTATATAATTAAATACGCATTGAAAAGCCCAGTAGTGGTAGTTGATATTTAGCTTCCAAGAGTAGAGGGGAGAGATTTGGTGAAACGTGTGCATACTTTTTCCGAGATAAAAGCGCTAGCGATTGCTGTCTTCAGACGTCAGCTTACTAGGTAGCTTTCTGCGCCTGCTTAAAGTGGTAGTCGTCGGAAAAAGCGTTTTTTCCTGAATCCGATATGGTAGGCTTTACAGTGTGCTGCCAATTCTTTAGGGGATAAAACTTTCTTGGTATCGTGTTCGAAAAGAATGTTTCACAGCTGATGGAATAGTGACTCAAAAGTTTCAGGAGAGTAGACATGTCGTCCTCTGTCTACCAACACTTACATTACATTACGTACGACAAATTTCGCTAAGTAAATTCGTAACAAAACAGTATACGAAACCCAGGCTATCACGTGTTCAAAATTCATCATTCATGTGCAATATCGGCACCGCCTATGCCACAGCAAACAAGCACAGCAGTCGACTTCCCGTCAAACCAGCTGCTCATTCTTTGCAACAGCCCCTGAGTACTTTTGCACTTGCAGAAACTGGATTGATATAGAAAAAATTTGTTGTACTAGGCAAGCAGAAAAAATCACAGAGCGTAAATTTAGGTGGGCATGGTGGTTCTCGTGGATAAAAAGTTGTTCTCTGCCTATTGTTTTGTTTTTTGTCCTGGGAGTTCATTGTTTGAGCAATCAGTTAGGAGGGTCCGTTTGTTTAATTGGGTTCACCAGCTGCGCGCTGTCCTGTGTGATAATGTTTTGTCATGTAGACGATATACACTGCCTTGTTGTTACAGTTTGCTTTTACGTAAGCAGTCCAAAGTATCAGCGCAATCAAAAGTGCAGATACGAAAGATATGTGAAAAACAAAATTAGTACAGCTTAATTGTGCAATGATTTTTCACATAGTTAACCTTGATTTCATGGGTTCGGCACAATTTTTAAGTTGTGTAGGCAGGTGCTAGTCATTTATTTTGTTCGTCTGTTGTTAGATTCACGCCGAAACTAATATCTTTTCTACCCACGCACACCAGAGGCAACTATAATCAGTTACACATTACAGAGGATAATATCAATGGCCAACGTCGAGTGCATCCCTCTGGGCAAGGAATCGCATTTGAGTGGCATATATGGTGGATCTCGATGACTTAGTGGGTTATAAGAAATCAAATTATGACGGCAAAATATTGAATGTCATAAACTTTGGTGTGCTGATGTATGGACATTTCTAAGGCTTGCTCACCAGGCCTTTTTGATCACGAGTCCCTGTTTTGTAAGACACTGTCAATTTCGAAAATTATATGTTCAAAAGATCAGCGGGTTACCAACATACACCTGGGAAACATATTCTCAGCAACGGCGAAGGCATACAAATAACGACGGCATTAGTGTGAACAACATCAGGTAGTCTGCATTTAACAAAGGACAAACTGAAATGCACTGTAGTGCTGACAATGATTACGTGATATGATGAGCGCGCGTTGGTGTTTCCGTCTGCTCATTTATTGTCTTAAATCCTACGGTATTTGTTAATATTTTCTGATATATTATTAACGTCTGCAATCTGGTAGCTAAATATCTCAAAAACCAATTTATATTTCTTCAAGCAATGCAGAGATTTTGGAACAGAACATTTTACAGTGTTCACTCACATCGTAAATTCCAAAACTCTCTCATAGGAGAGGATTCTTTGAGTGTCATTTCCATGAACAGAATGATGCTGCTAAAAATTAAGAGGCTATTTTTTCGAAATAAGGAGTGAAAGGCGTCAGAATGTCAGATATTTCAGGTGAACTTTCATATTATTTCACATACAAGCGTCGTTCAGTAGTCTACCTTGACAGGTCGTCTGATCAATTGACATTTCTGATGAATCGGCAATAATATCGGTTAAAATTCTTCGAAGGTGGCGGTGACGAAGATGCGATCACTGGAATAAGAAATTTATTGACCCGACGTTTCGAATTCCCACTAGAATCCATCATCAGAGACATTCGCAGATAACTGCTCGTCCAATATCGTCCCCACTTTCCTTAGCAACGGTTTATTACTGGTAAAATATTACTTTCCATATTTCAGTAGAATTTATGTTTAAAATTAAGTTTAGCTTTAAATGTTTCATATGCAAATGCTGACGAAATTCAGATGTACTATGTAGACCGTTTACTGTACAATGTGCTTGCTGGTGTCAGTGTTTATAACATTTGGGATAATTCGTATATTTGTATGATTCAGAAAATTTTTTATATTACTATTTGGTGTTTCCATTTCTTAGCTTCTGATAAACAAGTGCGATTGTGTTATATCTGCACTTCTCTCAAAATAAATGAACTAAACTAACGGTAAAATAACGAAAGGGATGCTGCAGCATACGTAAACTGTTTATACTTTCTGTACGAACTGGAAGCAAGCTGACTGATACGATAACAGCTAGGCGGCGGGAGTGGTTGCTCAAAGGGCTAAAATCATCAGGCCGAATTCCCAGTTGGAAGGAGAAGACGGAAACATGAGCATGGGTGGCTTGATGCGTACAGAGCCCGGAGTTGTCCTCTCAGGTGATCGCGGCCACTGTAAATACAGGGTTGGTGTTGACTGCGTCCATTCATATCTGAGAATCCCGGTATCAGTGTTGGCAGGACTCTTTGTAGGCTCGTGAGCCAAATCTAGTAATCTTCAATCGGCTTTTGTCGAGATGCCTTGTTCTAGTGGCTTAGTTTGTCGTTTCAGGGGGAGAGGTGCGTTCAAGTGGCCGCACGGCCAGCTGCTACTGTGTGAACGCAATTGTCCGAGATCATATCGTTCGTGTAGCTTTAGGTCAGCACGTCCGTAAAATCTCGGGATTTC